AACTCAGAAACAACTCAGATAAATAAATCGACGTTATAGAATTTTTTGTAAATCGCAATCACGTTTAGAACTAATATGTTTCCAAAAATCAATTCGAAATTAAATAAAATATGTTATATTAAAATTTATTCTTCTTGCTATCGACATACGTCACAACTATCGACATACGTCACAACTATCGACATACGTCACAACTTTTTGTTATTATGCTTTAGCTCTTTATATATATTCCAAATGTTTTTTAGTAAATGTTTTGCAAAAAAGCAATAGTTTTTTGAGTTTTTTTTAGTTTGTGTTTTTATTTTCGATGATTATTTTTCGATGATTATTTTCAATCATAATCTTAACTTAAACTGTTTTAACCACTGAACAGTTGAAGGCCGAAAGACTTTAAAAGAAAAAAACTGGGGAATTATCAAAAGCCGCAGCATCACTTTATCAGATCAAAGTTACTACTTTGTTGAAAAATGATCTTCAGAGAATCCTCACGGTAAACTGTAGAATCAGGATAAAGTTGACATAGGCAGTCAAAAAAAAGACAATACAGAAAAACAGGAGTCCAATGCAAAAGATGGTAAAATTCGCACGGAAAATCTTGTTAGAAAAGCGGAGGATTTTAGTGAAATTGTTAAAAAAAACAGTGACAAAAATAGAAAAACTTGTATTAAGACTTGGTTTAACGAGTTTAGTTGGTTATTTTATGATCGATCACTGAAAACTGTCTTTTGTGAAACCTGTACAAAATATGATTTATGTTCTAGTGAAGTGTTCAAGCATGGAGTCGGAAAAAAATTTAGAACATGGGGCAAATCTGTTGCAGCACTAAAAGATTACGAAGACTCCAGTGTTCATAAGGGTGCAAATGCTCTACAGATTGAGAAAGAAAATATAAAGTTTACAACAATTAATGCTTAAATTGACTAAATGTACATGGCTATGTACATTTGGTCAGTTTTCCATATGGAGAAGCAAGCAGTTTAAAAAAAAAGGATTGCTTGCTTATTTCGGAACATTAAAAACGTTATAATGATAATGATGAAGAATCCAATATTTAGCAGTTTAATTTGGATAAAAATAAAAGTTACAAGGTATTAGAAATGTTGATGATTGAAAACCATTATGTTTTATCTCATGACATCTTGTAAAAGCAAGAAGAACTTGTCATCTTAGAAGCACGGAGGCAGGTTGCTGAACTGATCAAAAATAAACATTTCTATTTGGTATTTGCAGATGAATCCTTAGATATTACTAAGAAGGAACAAATGTTGTTTAATATAAGAACTTGCGGAGATAACGATGAAGTGAATAAAGATTTTATCGGAGTATATGAATGCGTCAACGGTCTTTCTTCAGATGCCTTATTAAAATATATTAAAGATATCCTTTTGAGGTGCAACTCAGAATATAAAAAAGTTGCCGGAATTGGCTTTGATGGAGCATCAGTTATGAAATACTTGGCAGCAAAACTAAAAAATACTTTTGAACAGCAAGCAAAGTATTTTCATTGCATGGCACATTGCAGCAAGCTGATTGTTAAGGATACTATTGACATCTAGAAAGTAGCTAAGAAACAATTGATTTATTTAATAGACTGTTTAATAGCATGTTATAACCTTTAGTGTTAAACACTATACACGCGATTAGAAATAGTAAAAGTAGTAGACAAAGTGGCACTTTTTGTGTATTTTTTGGAGATCGGTAGGGTTAATTAAAAAGTTTATTTATATTAGATATTATATATAGTATAATATTGTCTTGATAATTTGGCAAGTACCCTTGTGTTTTATATTTGTTTAAAACAACAAACGATTTCATAATTTATATGCAAAAAAATTCACTTTCTTTAGCTTGCTTAATACCTATTTGTGGAAACATGGTTTCTGCATTTTCCACTAATCAAAATCAGGACGCCAAAAAAAGCATTCTTGTTACCTCCCTCATAATATTCCTATCAAGCTACTTTAATCTTTGGATTCTCATTTATAGCATCTTGACTGAAGATAAGTATTTATACAGTTAAGCCACCGGAAATATTAGGCAAAACAAATATCAACATTTATATATTGTCCTCAAAACGTCAAATGTTCCATTTTGGTCGTTTTTATGCATTTTAGGGTCTCGTTTGCCACAGTCGATTGTTTTTTATGCGATGTGTTTTTGTGTAGGCTGCACTATTGTAACATTCATTGTTTTAAAAATAATTTTTCACAGACTTATTGGAAGTAATAAATTTGTTTGGAAAAAAAATCTTACAATATCACGACAAAAGATGAAAAACCTGAAAATAAAGCGGAGTGATAATTATTCACGAATAATTTAGCATTAATTTTGAATAATTGAGTCTTAACTTCGAATGTTTTTATTAGAGAATCCTGATTCATAAGAATTTTGACGTTTTTATTTATGGTTTTAAGATTAGAATTTAAAAAAGTATTGCGTTGCACTAAGAAATTGTAACATCTAGAACTGTTTTTTTTTTTTAAAATACTTTGTTTACTTTTATCTTTTTTTAACTTATAATTATGTAATTTTATCTTTTTTTAACTTATAATTAAACTTTAGGTTTTGTTGACTTAAAATTAAATTTTATGTTTGTTAACTTATAGTTAAATTTTATATTTTGTTGACTTAAAATTAGAACTAGTGATTACTGAAAGTAAAATGTCAATTGGTTCTTTTATTGTAAAAATCTTATCGATGAAATATATAAAAAATCAACATAACCAATATATTTTGCGCAGGAATAAAATCAAATTTAAAAAAATTATCTTATACCAGATTAACATAAAATCTAACAAACATGATAAAATAATTAAAACCTAAAATGGAAAATAGGAGGTCTTGTTTTAAGTTATGATTTTTTAATTAAATTAAGTAATTTAAATATTGTTTTAAAAATATCAAAATGACACTGAACATGGCATTGTGGAACATTAAAAATGCCCATTTAAACCTATCTAAGTAAAAATACTTTTTAGTTAAAAATTATAATAAAAACAATTTTATTTCTAGTTTTGTTGCTAAAAATGAAAAAAAAATGTTTTATTTATTTAAAATTTAAATACATTTTTGACCCTGTATATTGTTTTAAATTGTATTCAACTCCCTAAGGCTGTTAAGGAGGTTTTTTTTATTTATTTTTTAACTGTTACAACGTTTTGTTTCGTATATCTTTTGTTTATATATCTTATTCAAAGATATTCGTATATCTTTTGTTTCGTATATCTTTTCGTATATATTAAGATATACCGTTAGAACAATTTATCAACTCAAACACTTTTTAGAGTCGCCTCCCTCATGTGATATTTAGAGACTTTTTTCCCCGCATGGATGATGTAGCATAATCTTTTTTTTAAAGAAAAAAATAACAATTTTTTAAGTGTTATAATTGTCATACTTTATCAAAATAGTTTAATGTGTTCAAAAATTACAATAATGGGGCTTAGTGATAAGACAACTTCTTTTCTTGTTCCCGCCAGTATTTGTATTATTATAATTTCTTTATTGAATTTTAAACAAAGAGTAAATAAATTAATTGAAATATTTTCGTTTTCATTTTCTGTTTAAGACTTAAATTTGTTTTGAATCAAACTTTGATCTTCGAGTACTGGAGTTTTATTTTCTTTATTAATTTTTAAAGTTGAGGTTTATTATACCCAGGTTAGGTGAATTATCTTTCCACTCAATTTTTTTTTTGGCAGAACTTAAAAAGACTTAAATGAACTCAAATTAACGTTGAGTAAATAGAGCAAAGGTTTAATATTTTGAATCTTGATGCTCTATTCTTTAAGCAAACTGTTTGTGTTGTTTCACTAATTTGATTTTACTGCCCACAATTGGTACAAGCATAACATTGGAACAAAAATTGAATTCTTGAGTAATAATATGGCAATATTACTACTCAAGAATTCAATGGAAACCGTTTGTTACCAATATTGCAAATTATTTTACTGAGTAATAAGTTTGAAAGTGGCCTGCAAAATTTTTCATGGTAACATTTTATCTTTTCATCACTTCGCTCTTGTCATTTTCTTTATCACTTAAAAGTCATTATTCTGGCAAAAAAATTTCAGTTTGGATTACCTGTTCGTTACTTGAATTTATAGATTTGTTCCTTTTGTTATACTTTATGAAGCATCCTAGTATTCTTCATGTTGAACTACAAAGTTGGACCAAAGCTGAGCGACAAACATTTCGAAATATTTTGTGTTTACATAATATTTTTTATTTTATATTTTTGGAAGTGTTTATTTTACTTAAGGTGGCTCACCCCCTTTAAATCTAACTTTTTATTTATACATGTTAAAGACTTGTTTTTTGTTTTTTATATAATAAATTAAGGTAAAACTTTTTAAAAGAAAAATGAAACTTGCATTTTTTGATGCTATATCAGCATAATTTGTCTAAAATCTTACTTTAGCTAAAACAATGATATCTTGACTAATATATGGACTAAATATATGGTATATTTAGTTTTTTTGCCAAATGGTAACTAAATAGTTGCTCCAGGGCTGAAACTAAAATTTTTTTTAAATGTTCGAAATAATTAAAATGGCAGCACTAAACGTGCAGAAATTGATTTATTGCCTATGTCAGTCAAACTAACTTTTACATACTTGAAATACTATAATTCTAGTTCCAGTCCTCATAAGATTAAACGCTAAATTAACAAAATGAATAAGGAATAAACACACATAAAAAAAAAACAAAGCTTGTGATACCCACTAGTTATTAAAAAAACTTATAAATAAACGCAAAAAATAATATATATTAAAAATATTCATGTCTAATACATTTGGTAAAATCTGAAAACAAAAAATCAAAACAACAGAACCTTATTATATTAAAACATTGATAATTTTTCTCTCTATCATATAGATATATTTTAAAACATACGCCAAACGTACGCATGCATTATAAAATATAAAAATGATACTATAAAATATATAAAACATTGAATTAATAAAAGAAAAGTTCTATTTTTCAAAATATTTAAAAGATTGAGAAGATAAACTGTAAAAAATTATTATCCGAAAAACAAAACACTACACAAAAGAACAAACGTTAAATATCATAAAATTTACAATTATTTACAGAGTTTATGTAAGTTTTCTCACAAGAAATTTATTTAATTTAGTACTGAAAACAGCATAGCTTGTCATTTAAAACCTAATGCGTAATTTTTTTTACGGAACTCTTTACCAAAATATCATTCTTTACTAGCACTTATAAAATTCGTCAAAAATATTTCGTTTTTCGTAGTCATAGATTTATCATGACGGAATTGTGGAATCATCACGACAGCATATTTATAACAGCAAAATAGTAGCAAAAATCATTTATAAAACGAACACTACGGTTTTTGATTTGGCGATACCTATTTTGGTAAAGAAAAATAATATTAAAAATATACGATCTAGACCGTAATTTAAAAGATTATAAACAAACTCCTGGAGTCAAATTATTTTAGTAATTGTTATTTTACTTTACTCTTGTTTTATTGATTATAACTACAATTTTTTTGATAATAATAAACGTTAAAACCATAAAGTTTTGCAATTTTTTGCGGCATCTGAGGGTTAATATTACTATTTGTCTTTCTCTTAAATATAATATTAGATTCGAAAGTTTTTTTTAGTTGCTATGCATTATAAAAACCTACTATTGCACTATAGAACGTCTCAAAAGTTTTGTAAGATTACAAAAGATAAAGCATTAGATAAGACATACTTTATTTATAGTGAATGTAAAGTTACGATGAATATAATTTTTTTTAATATTCATATTGAATAGAAATTACTAGCCATAGTATAATTGAATATTTGATTGAAGACTACATTATTGATTTCATGTTACCAAGATGAGCATACACAGCAGATGTTGTCTGCACAACAGCTGATATTTGGTCTACTGATAATATAATTTCATTGGCATAACAGTTTAGCGGCTATTACCAGACTTAAAGAAAAAGTCTACTGCTCATAATTTCGGTTCACCAGCTTATACCGGTTATACTTATGATAGAATAGCTGAATAATATCTATAGCTAAATAATATCTAATATACACAACATTTATGACTTTGAAATTAGATAGACTGTCACAACAACCACTAACAATTCAAGTATCTTTGTCAAAACCTTTTCTAAATTACATGGTAGTTGAAGATAAGCAAGAGCCGACAGGTGAGAAACTTGAAAAAAGACATGCAGAAACAAAAGAAGAAACAACAAGTGAAATAATTACCTCAATACACAAACGGCAAAGACAAACAGAACAACTGTTTTACAGCATGTCGGTTAAGTAATAAAAAATAATGGAGCTTTAAGTGTAAAACTGCAGCTTCCATTTAGCCTGAACCTTATTGGTTCAAATAATTAAGAGAAAGCATTTAAAACTACAGCATATAGTTAAATGCATCATGCTTTTGCAATTATTGTAAATTGTAGCAGCAAGCAGCATATAAAGTGGCTGAAAATTTGTTAATAAAAATAAACTGATCATACAAAAAAATATTATAAAAAAAAAATTAATTTAATCAAAACCATTCTCCTCAAGATTGCCTGTGTTCCTTAGTCAATTACAATTCTGGGAAACCTACTGAAACATTGTCCTCTGCAAGACTTCCATCAAAAGAAGATATTCTGAGCCTAGTGGAAAATCACCAGGAGGCGAAACAAAAAGTGAAGACATTAGTTCAAAGAACAGTTTAAGCAATATTAGCTATCTGGGAAAGTGGGAAAGTCCAGATTGACAATGCTGAAAGCAAAGTAAACTAACTGTATAATGAATACCTTATTCTTAAGAAGAACAAAAGCAAAAAACTAGATAGTTGCAGAATGAAATAAATTTTCCAGGCTGATCTAGCAGAACTATTTGATCTTTCAAATAAGGATGCTCTAACCTGTGTTTATGATAGCCTGTATATATATGTGTGTATATACAATGAGAACACCTTCTCATTGTATATACACACATATATACTATGGTGTTGACTTTTTAATATCTCCAGTTTCCAATATAAAAAACAGATGAACTATGGTTCGAAAGTAACTGAAAAGCTATTGGGTTTATTTAATTTTTGAAAAAGATACCCGCCATGACCCTTAATTACACACTGGCTCCCATATATCAGTCAATTTTTTTTTCTTCAAAAGTATATTAAAAAAAAAAAATTGACTGATATATGGGACTCAAAATGTCATAGAGATTTTAGAAATAATAATGGTTTTATTTGCTTAAATTTTATATACAAAAAACAACAATTTTTAACTAAAAATTAAAAAGATCGTTTTTTATGATATTTTGCTTGCAATTATTTTTTTTAATGTTTCAGTAGATAAGATTATGAATTTTGAAATCACTATAAAATTTTAATTCTTTTGAGACCCAGGTTGATATACTTTTGAAGAAAAAAAAAATTCATTGATATATGGGAGGCAGTGTATAATTAAGGGTCATGGTGGGTGACCTTTTTCAAAAAACTAAATAAAAACAATCACTTTTCACTTACTTTCAAATCAAAGTTCATCTGTTTTTATATTGGAAACTGGAGATATCAAAAATTTACTAAAAAGTCAACACCCTAATATATACATATATTAGCATATATATACATATATTAGCATATATATACATATATTAGCATATATATACATATATATACATATATTAGCATATATATACATATACTAGCATATATATACATATATTAGTATATATACATATATATAGGATTAACTCTTACTTCTGATATTTCTTGGTAACCTTATATCAAATCCGTTAAATTAGCATCTGTTAAAGTTGCATCTTTTTATCGAGCTCAACACATTCTTACTATGGATTCTATTCTCTATCTCTATTAATCTCAAATCCGGCCTTGTATGGATTACTGTTGCCATATATGGGGCAGATCTTCTAGTGATGCCCTTTCTATTTTAGACAAGGTGCAAAAACACATTGTAAACATAGTTGGACCTGCTCTTGCAGCCAACCTTCAACCTTTGTCAAATTGTCGTAATGTTGCTTCTCTATCTCTTTTCTACAAATACTATAATGGGTACTGTTCTAAAGAGCTAGCATCTCTTGTGCCATCTACTAAAATTCATTCTCGTGTTACTGGTCATTCAATTAAGTCTCAACCTTTTTCTATTACTGTTCCTAAGTGCTCCAAAAACTCTTATTCGTCTAGTTTTTTCCGAAACAAGATGAAGGAATTCGCTTCCTTCATCTTGTTTTCCTGATTCATATAATTTGCAATCTTTTAAGTCGTCTGTCAATCGTTATCTTGCTCTGCAATCTTCATCTTTTCTCTTCCAGTAACTTTCAACACTAATTAGTGGTTGCTTGCAGCCTTGTTGGAAGCGATGATGTTTAAAAAATATATATTATATATATATATATATATATATATATATATATATATATATATATATATATATATATATTAGTGTTGGATAAAAAAACCACTTATGGAACAATTTCTTCTACTGCCATTTTCAAAAGGATCATGAGGAATCTTCCTGATGATCCAGTTAAAGGAGAAAATAGCAATAAAATGAAAAGTTTGATAAGTGTTTTTTTTACTAATTTATTACTTTTTTGTTGCCCCCAATTGTATGACAGGATCAGGGATACAGAGTCCTCAAGAAGGACTCTGGATTCAAAAGTCACAAAAAAATTACTTCTTCCTAACTTTTGGTATCCAGATACCAAAAGATAGAATACTAAACGCACTATTACTTTTTGAATTACTCCTTGAAGTGATTTTAAGGACTATAATTGATCTCCTTAAGGGGTACTGAATCACCTTAAAGGGTGATACATCACCTTGTAATTTACTTTACCATGAAAATTCCAAGAAATCCATTTTTAAAATTTTAAGCTTTATTGGTAAAAAAAATCAACAAAAAAATTTAATTTTTATGACCAATTAATAATATTTCAAAATTCAAAATTAAGACTTGAAAATACATTAAAACATTTTATTCTTGAAACTTAAAAATAACTTTTTTATCCTAAAGAAATATTGAAATAATGCCATTTATTATTTATTTATGTAATTAAAATATTTTTTTTGCAAATACTTAAATAAATAGATGTAAAAAAAAATTATCTAAAAATAAACCATGATTTCTTCAAAACTTCGATTCAAATTTTCTCGTAGACTGCTCAGATCTTTTTCTTGTGTTTTCAGTTGGTCATGCAAGTTCTATGTACATATATATATATATATATATATATATATATATATATATATATATATATATATATATATATATATATATATATATATATATATATATATATACATATATATATATACATATATATATGTATATATATATATGTATATATATATATATATATATATATATACATATATATATACATATATATATGTATATATACACATATATATATATATATATATATATATATATATATATATATATATATATATATATATATATATATATATATATATATATATATATACATACATACATACATACATGTATATACACACACATATATATATGTATTTATATATATCTATATATACATATATGAATATATATATATATATATATATATATATATATATATATATATATATATATATTTATGTATATATATATAAATATAAATATAAATATATATATATATATATATATATATATATATATATGTATATATATAAATATAAATATAAATATATATATATATATATATATGCATATATATATATATATATATATATATATATATATATATATATATATATATATATATATATATATATATATATATATATACACAGTAAAATCCTGGTTATTTGAACCTCTGAGGGGAACAAGAATTTACTTAACCAAAATAACCGAATAACCTAAAGTTCGAATAACTGAAAATCTTATTTAAAGTGACCTATTTCAAGTTACTATAAAATTTTAACAGAAATAGAGAGTAAAAAACAAGAAAAACTTTAGAATTAGATGCTGATCAAGTCCTTACCTTCTAAAAAAAAAAAAAAAAATTGAAAATAACAAAAAAAAACCTTAATAATTTTTTGAAAAAAATCGTCCATTTTTGATTGCTTTTTTGCTTCTAGAGAATGTTTCTAAAAACATATTTGATACTAGACTTAGCGATTGTTAGACTTTGATGTTGTTATTTTCAAAAAAAAACCAACATTCAATTGCACATGCAATCTTTGATAATTTTGATTTTTTGGGAGGCAAATCGTTTGACTCATTATCTATCTCCTCATCTACCTCATCACAATTATTGATTAAACTGAAATTCAGAATTTCTCGACCTGTGATAGCAATTGCTTTACTTGTACAAACATAAAAATCTATGTTTACGTAATCTTCAACAGAAAAATCTTTGTCAACTAAACCACGTCTAATCTCGTTGATGTTCTATTCCAGTAATTTGAAATGATCATCTTCAGTATTTATACTTCAAACCTGTATTTCTAGCAAGATGCTTGCTTTTCTAAAACAATTGGTTACAGCATTTGTTGATACAGCATCCTATGACCTCACCAACATGCTCCTAGCTTCAAAAATGTTTTAGCAGCATTAATGTATTTGATCTAGTGTCTCACAACATTCCTATGATAAAAGCCTTTAATCCCTTTATGACTCACTGGTCCATTGGTTGTGTTTTGGAGGTTGTGTTTAATGGTAAAAATACTCATTCAATTGCTTTGAGATATTCAAATTTTCATTATTATTTTATAATTATTCAATATGTTAATATTAGGATGAGCTGGGCAGTTATCTATGATTAGAGCAACTTTTCCAACCTCAGCATTAAGCTTTGTGTCAAGTTTTCTTACATAATCAGTAAAGATTTTAGATTCTATCCAGGATTTATTTTGGAACTTGTAATGAAAAAGTAGGCTTTGACACCTTTGAAACATTGAGGTTTTTCTGCCTTTCCAATTATAAATATAGGTAGCTTTTCACCAACCCCATAGGCAGTTTTTCACTAACCTGCAGCTAAGCCTGTTAACCAAATTTGCTTAATTTTTCTCCTTTTAGATAAAAGTTTTTGTCGGAAGCTGTTGATGAAAGCAACCAAACTCATCAGCGTTGTAAATATCCCTCAATTCATACCTTGAGAGGATTGCGAGCAAATGGGTTTTGACCTTTCCTCATCAGATATTATTTGAAAAAATACATTATAAGCCTTCCCAGAAAAGGCGTGTGGTTTTTCGTCTTGTGTGACCACACGTGAGTGTATTATTTTATACAACTTGAACGCGGCCGTTTGTTTGTAACAACAAGGGTCGAATTAAGCAATGTGAAACGCAAAATCTGGAAAAGTATCTAGTATTTAAAATTTTAGTTTATACAAAACCGTGTTCCTTGTTTTTAAGGGAAGAATCAACTTAAATTTGTTAGCGAAAAAATAAAAAAATAAAACAATAAACTTACGATTACAAAAGTAATAACACTCTAGTCACTAACTGCATTACAAAAGTAATAACACTATAATAGTGTTATTACTTTTATAACGCACTTATAACTTTTAAAATTCATTCTTTGTTCAAGCAACATTAGTATTCCCAAATTTTAATTGAAGTAGAAAAATATCTAGAAGAATAAAGTGGATGTTCAAATAATATTAAAACTTAAATAACTTATAAAAACATGACAAACAACTTTATAAAAACGTATCGTATTAAAAATTTAGCGTTATGAAAAACGATACTAATGGACCGTAAAAACGCGCGTTAATTTTAAAATTAACCAATAAAAATTTCTTATTGGTTGATTTTAAAATTAACACGCATTTTACGTAACATTTTTCATAATGCTATACTTTTTATAAAGTACTTTTTTATAATATTGTTTAAGTGATTTGTGAAAGCTCCTGAAATTTTTAATATTAGTTGAATATCCGCTTTATTTTTTCTAGATGCTTTTCTACTTTAATAAATGTTTGGAATTAATAATGTTGTTTGAACAAAAAATTAACTTTAAAAGTAATAAGTGCTTTATAAATGTACTAACACTATTATAGTTTTATTACTTTTATAATGCAGTTAGTGACTAAAGTGTTATTACTTTTGTAGCCGAAATGTTTATTGTTTTTGTATTGCTTTTTGTAACTTTCTCGCTAGCAAACTTTTAATAATTTGCTCCTAATAAACAAAGTACACAGCTTTGCATGAACTAAAATTAAAGACCTAATATTTTACCAAAGTTTGCAAATCGCGATCGTATAATTTAACTCTTGATATAAACTTGCTAAATTATCATTTTACAAATAAATTTTACAAAAAGATGAAGATACATATTTTCTCTTTCCTCTTTAAAAGAAAAAAAACATAAAATGGGAAATTCAACCTTTTTAGCGCCTAAAACCTTTTTTTTTTTTTTTTTTTTCCCTTTGACTTACTGAATTTTGTTGCCAATAATAATAACCACTAAGAAAAAACAAAAATAAAAACAACACACAAATTATTTAAACTATTTTTATTGTTTTCTATTTAAGTTTACTTTAATTTCTTAAGTAGTTATTAAATTTAAAACAATTTTTCAGCAACGCATATAATAAAACTTGCGCAAACAGCCGTGATCACGTTCTCTAACTTGAAAAACGTTTTCGCAGTCGTACGAGAGGAAAATCCGCATGCCTTTCCTGGGAAGGCTTGCATTATGTCTATTTTTCCATCTATCAAGCTACATTTCTGAATCCTTAAAATCCACTATGTTTACTTCTTATACAAAATCTAAAGCTTTCTCCCTAATAATGTGTCCACCAATTGGTACATTTTGTTCATGGTTGTTTATATAATAATATATAAGTTAAAGTGTTTTGAGGAACACTAAACTTTTTTTTAGTTCTTTTTCAGTCTTCTTTTAAGTAGATGCCTTGTTGAAATACAGCACTACATGGCATTAGATTTTTTAATTATATTTTAATAACATTATTTCGTTTGTTATATTTTGATAACATTCCATAATGCAATGTTTTGAAATGCAATGGAATGGTATCAATAAAAAAAAACTTTGAATAACTGACAGGGACTAGTCAAATGGAGTAATAAAATCATTTCGAAATTTCAAATAACTGCAAGTTCAAATAACTGATAGATAATTGCATGAGTTTGTTAAGGAAAATTCATGGGAAAGGAAGATTGCTTCGAATATGCATGAAACTAGAATAAGTACTAACTTGAATAAGCGGTAATTTACTATATATATATATATATATATATATATATATATATATATATATATATATATATATATATATATATATATATATATATATACATATATTAAAGCACAGTATATTATTTATAAGCAAAACTATAATGTAACTAAAAACCTTTCTACTGTATGCTTGCCAATCAAGTAGTTCTTTTTGTCGAAAATTTTCTGCACTCAAATCACTAAGCTATAAAATATTTTTTAAAAAACAATAAAATAAAACAAAAAAACAAAAAAAGCAAAAACAAACAGTTGTATAAATATACTTGTTTGTGAAGCTGTTGTATTGTCTCTAAATACATTTTAATACGCTTCTGTAGATCGTCGATCGTATGAGAGCGTATATTCCTCTCATTAATAAGAGCTGTTCTAAAAAAAGAAAAAAACTGAAAATCAAATATAGATAATAAATTTTATAAATTAGAAACATAGCAAGTGTTATATTTATATTTGTATATAACATGTAAAAATATATAAAACTCTATATTTTAGTTTTGAATTGTTTATGGCCAGCTGCAGAAAAAAAAAGTTTAGGATCGACACCCTGGCAGGTTTGGTAGTTATTTTAAAAAGTTTACACTCTTTGCAAAAAGTTATCATGTGTTTCTCCATTTTCAAACAACATTTCTTTTTGAATTTTTTACTGACATCAAAAATACTTATATGTTTTTCAAGAACAAAAGAAATTCAGATGGAGAGTTAAAAGAGTAAAAAACAACTTTGAGAGTGTGGCCTCACTTGAAACAGAAAATTAAATTTCAGATTCAGATTTAAACTTTAAAGATTTAAAGTGTATAGTCTATCGAGTAACTGAACTGTTAATTTGTAGCATTTTATTGAAGACAGAACTGTTACTAGCTTTATTTTAGATTTAGATTGAACATTGGTTCTACCATCATGTATGGAAGCAATATTGGTTTTACCATTATGTATAGAAGCAGCATTAGTTTTACCATTATATATAGAAGCCATTGTGCACATATGGAAGGATCTTATTTATATCTGTTCTATTTAGCCTTGTGGTCTTTTAGTAGACTTAATTTTTTCCAAAATTCAGCTGCAACATACTTTTGCAAGATAAGAATATTACTACTAATTTTAGACCTTTTTGATCACTGGACAACAACTTGCCTAAGTAATATCACTTAAGCTCTATGAACACTAGCACCAACTAAACCAATTCTTGTTGTCAGAAAAAAACATTATTTTTGCAAGTTACTTTCTAAAATATTTTGTTCTATCTCTGATTGTTCATTTTTTAAAACTACTGAATTATTATTCTTTCTATATTCTGCATTTGATAAATTCAATAATGGTCAGTTATTGAAGTTTTTTGTTATTGTTATTAAAGTTATTGAAATTAATTGAAGTTATTTTTTTTTCAATTTTAATTTTTTTCGAAATTAAAATGAAAAAAAAAATTAATTTAACTGAGCACTAATAAAGAATGTAATTGAAAATTTAAATATTTAAAAAAAATATTGTCAGAATTTCAAATTTAAAAATTTCGAATTTAATCCAACTAAGCAAATTAAAAAAAAAAAAAAAAAATTCGTTAAAAAAGTAAACAAAAGAAATTTAAAGTTACTGAATTCAGTTTGAAAAAAAAATTTACAAATACAGTTTGAAAAAAAAAATTGAAATTTAAAATTTGAAAAAAAAATCAAGATTGATCTTGAGATTTCAAAATCCGCAGGATCTGGAAAATAAAATCCGCAGGATCTGCTCTGGCAGCCAATCTCCAACCTTTGTCACATCGTCGTAATGTTGCTTCTCTTTCTCTTTTCTACAAATACTATAATGGGCACTGCTCTAAAGAGCTAGCGTCTCTTGTGCCATCTACTAAAATTCATTCTCGTGTTACTCGCCATTCAATTAAGTCTCATCCTTTTTCTGTGACTGTTCCTAAGTGCTTCAAAAACTCTTATTCTTCTAGTTTTTTTCCTCGAACATCAGTTCTTTGGAATTCGCTTCCTTCATCTTGCTTTCCTGATTCATATAATTTGCAATCTTTTAAGTCATCAGTCAATCGTTATCTTGCTCTACAGATTTAGTCTTTTCTCTTCCAGTAACTTCCAACTCTTATAGTGGTTGCTTGCAGCCTTGTTGGAAGTGAAGATGTTAAAAAAAAAAAAAAAAAAAATCTGGAAATTAAAATCCGCAGGATCTGGGAATTAATTTTTATGTTATAGTTTTAAACTTGATTATTCCAAATTTAATATAAGAAAAAATGAACTAAAAAGTTAAAAGAAAATTAATGAAGGAAATAATAATCATATATAATAATGCTCAACATGGAACTCACAGCAGCATTGCGCCTGAATTAATGGCGAGAAAGATTTATAGCATTTCTTTTTGTAAGGAAATGTAAACCAAAGTGCTTGCAAATGTCTAACTTATTTAACCTTCAAATTATGTAATGTTGATATTTTAAAATCTATTTCCACAGGTTTTAATCTTTTTATACTGATTGTAATAAATCAACGCATTTCAAGCGGGTATTCTAAATATTATTTAGAATACCTGCTTCAGGTACAAATAACTGAATCACTGATAAATAGTGGTTTACCCAACAACTACAGAAATGTTTAAAATTTTTTAAAGTTAATTGCATTATAAATTATTTTTTTATTTATAAACTTAAAGAGTAGACAATATGTATAGTATTTTTGTTGCTTAATAAAAAATATTAAAGAAAGCAATTAATATAGAAATTGTTGGTGTAGAATATAATTAAAAAGACCTGTATTTTATGGGTCCAGACAGTTAGCAAAAACAATATATGCACAGCAAACTTATAGAATCTTATGGTTTTAACAGTTTTATCAGACCATGTGCATTTAATTTTATTTGTAATCAGTTTACTTTTAAATGTTTTTTTTCAAAGAATGGTGAATGAAAGTTTTCGTAGCAACAATTTTTTAAATTGTGGTTGTAAACTACAAAAACATTCATTGGCCATTCTTCGGGGAAAAAAACTATGATCAACATTTTTATTCTAATTTTAATATCATCAATATTCAATTATTTTTGTGTGTTTATACATGCACACAACTAACAGGTACACACACAGACATGTATACACACATACTTTAGTTCTCGAACTTCTGTTCTTAGTTGTGATATGGTTTCTTCTTGTTCATTAATGTAAGATCTCTACAGATGAATAAAATATAAATTAAATGATAATAAATAAAACTAGAACAAATTCAGTTTTTTCTATTTTTTAAAATAATATACTTACAAACAAAACTTCTTTTTCAGATCTACATTAAAATAAAATTTGAGATAATAAAAAATAAAATAAAATTTGAGATAATAGAAAATGAGAAAGAAAAAAAAAATCATTAAACATTTCAATAAATTTTAATATAAATTAGAAAACTAAACACACACACCAAATATATATATATATATATATATATATATATATATATATATATATATATATATATATATATATATATATATATATATATATATATATATATTCATATACATATACATATATATATATATATATATATATATATATACATACATACATACATACATACATATATATATATATATATATATATATATATATATATATATTCATATACATATACATATATATATATATATATATATATATATATATATACATATATATATATATAAATATATATAAATATATATATATATATATATATATATATATATATATATATATATATATATATATATATATATATATATATATATATATTACTTTTAAAAATAAGACAAATTTTTTAATTTTATTTAAAATCATTATATTTATCAAGACATGTTTCGTCTATATATAGTGATCATCAGTTAAAATGTTTTTGTTGAAAATGGTATAAAATATAATATATAGTTGTAAAAATAAACATAATAAAAGCAATAAAATTGTAAACAAACTTCCTATATATACAAAAAGAATTATTAAAAATTATTTTAACAAATGTCAAATATCACAAAAGAAACTAATAAACCATATTAAATTATAAGAGTCATTTTAACATGGTTTACTTGTTTATTCATATCGGATTTTTTCCATCCTATATAAATGCTTTCTTTAATTCTTTATTCAATTTTGTTTTTCGCACGATCCAAAATCGAAAAGCATTTATCATTATAATTTGTCTTTTGAGTGAAAATGCTTATAAATAAGAGAGTTTTTATCCCTTCTGTAGTGTTCAATCACTCTCGTCTTTAGGTGGCGAGAGGTTTCGCCAATATAACAGGATTTACATCCTGCACAAACAAATTTGCAGACAATGAATGATTTAAAATCTAAAGGAAGGTGATCTTTAGATGAAAAAAATTAGACATTTTTAACAAAGTGAATACTAAATTTTCGGTAACCGACTTACAATGTCTCTTTATAATTGCGTGTAGTCTTTGTTTTGTTAGCTCAGATATTTGACCAATATAAAGGAGTTTGAAATAGCGAGAATTTGTAAGGTCTTTAGACTGTAATGGAACGACATAATTATCTTTATTTAATAAGAGTTGTGGATTTTTTCTATTAGCTAAGATGGTACATATTGCGTTTGAGAATTTTGAAAAGATTTTTAATATCATAACGGAGACCAAGGGTAGTGTTGGTAAGTTTGAAAGTTTTATCAATTAAACATTTTATAAGACTTATTTATATGAAAACAAAGTAAAGCTGTAAAAGTTGGTGTATAATCCAGCAAAGGTTTTTTTATGAAAAACAATACAATATGTTGAAAATATCGTCTATTGGCACTTATAACTATCATTTGGCTTGATTTCTTTGAGATTTATTATCTCCATTAATACCATCTGAGTTTTGTACTAAAGATTCTTTCACCTTTGTTAAAGAAGTAAACAAAGCGAACCTATTTAACAGCTTTCTTGTATCTTTTGATATCACAAGTTTATTCAAAAACATTCTATTACAAGAAACAATAGATATTGCTGTTGATGTTATCATAAAAAAAGAATTAATTCTTAAAACTAACAAAAGTAATTTAAAAAAACTCTTTCTTTTTGCAACAGCACAAATGCATTTTCACATTAAAGGACAGTTTTATGACCAAATTGATCGTGTTGCTATGGGTTTTCCATTAACACTTGTACTTGCTAATTTTTGGGTAATTTTGAAAAAAAAGTTTAACACAACATTCAACACTTTGGGTGATTTGGATAAGTATTAACTGTGGAAGGTACATCAACGACTGATTAGATTTTTTCAGCTATTTACTGTGATGTAGGTGGTGGTTTTGTGGTTTGATCAATGTTTCAGTTTATTAGATCATTCCAGTCATTAACATTTAAGTAAGTTTTAAGTACTTGATATTAGCAAAGTACGCATATATATATATATATATATATATATATATATATATATATATATAATATATATATATATATATATATATATATATATATATATATATATATAAACAATTAGTACCGCAAACGAACATCTGCAGGATGTTGAACCAGCAAGTTGTTTAAATAAATGCCTCAGAAGTTCATTAGTTTTCAGACATTTGTTTTAAGGTTAGCAACCAACACATAATGCTCTTCTTTCTTAGTAACCACAAACATTTATCTTTTTTTGTCCTCCTGGTTAATGTTAAGGTTACACTTACATCAAAATACAGTGAAGTAATCATATCAGTACATGTACTACTATTTTCTTCTTCTCCTCTTATCCTTTCTTTTATTCAATTCCAAATTTTTTTAATTCTCTAACTTTTCTGGTATATTTAACATTGATTCCACAGATGTACATTTTATGTAAAGTTCTTTAATCATGTAAAAAGTTTTTTTCATTTGTAGAACTTTCTTTTCTCTAGCACATTTATAATCTGCGATAAAAATATCTCCAAAAAAATCATCTTTGCAGAGTAGGAAATAACAAAATCAAATTTTAAATAACAATGGAAAATTTACAAAAAGCTTTGGTAATTATACGGTACTTAATTTTGATTGGCCTAAACGAAACCCATTGTTAATTATGACAGTGAGCTGGTAATTAATTGTTTTAAGATGAATAATGTGAATGGATGCACTGTTCCAAAGTTTCAATATATTTGCATTCTGTGTATTTGGCTTTTTTAAAATAATGCTTAATTTAGAATGCTGTCATTTTATTGCATTTCATCCTACATATACATATATATATATATATATATATATATATATATACATATATATATATATATATATGTATATACATATATATATATACATATATATATATATATATATATATATATATATATATATATGTATGTATATATATATATATATATATACATATATATATATACATATATATATATACATATACATATATATATATATATATACATATACATATATACATATATTATATATATATATATATATATATATATATATATATATATATATATATATATATATATATATATATATATATATATATATATATATAAAAGCTGCATTAAGATAGCAAAAAAAGTAAGCAAATGCTTATATAAATGTTATAGTAGATATATTTATCTATAGTAGATATTTTTTGCTTTAAAATATATATATATATATATATATATATATATATATATATATATATATATATATATATATATATATATATATTTTAAAGTAAAAAAATCTATAAAAGTATTAACAATAACTTGAAAACTATACCTTTCAGAATTAGCTTGTAAAAGATTATCATGATATTCTTTGGGATAAGAGTTTCTATTATGTTGAACGCCTTCAAGCTCTTTTTGTATTTCATGTAGCTGTAACACAAAATTATTAAGGAACTTATATTTAATAAATATTTAAACTTGTACAAATAAAAACAATGTGTAAACTGAAACATAATAAACTAGATGAAATTGAAGGATCTGAAAATAAGTTTCTTTTTCTTCATACCTCTGCATGAAGTTGGCTTTTTTCATGATTCAGCTTTGAATTAGCATTTTTTGCCATTTCAATCTATAAGAGATTGAAGTTATTTTAATTTATGACTTTAATTTAAGCTATTTTAATTAATGACTTTAATTTAAGTTATTTTTATTATTAATTTATTATTTTCATTTTTTTATTATTAATAATTATATTATTTTGATATTTATTAGTTTTAAAAGAATTTACATGAATATAACTAAATTTATTTCTATTATCAGGGGTTATTCCAGAGCTTTATTGACAGCATTGAATGCATTTCGAGGACATTTGGGTGCCACCAAAATTCAAAAATTGAGGGTTTTTTTTTTTTAACGAAAAATATAATTTTTTTTGTAGTTGCAAAAAAAAATTCTTACAACCATGCACTGGCATGGGGGCTACTACCAAACAAATTATTTTCATAGAATAGCCCCTGATTATATATAGATTTTTATTTAAGCGTTTTATTTACGCATTAGCAAAGCTATTATTTTGACAATTATATTTAAAATCTCTTGTTAAAATCTTAGTTAAACATTATCAGCAACATGTTTGCAAAAATAAATTTATCATAAGTAACATAAATTCTGTTTTTATTTTTACTTTATATTTTTTCTCTAATTTGATTTGAAATTTTAAAGATTTGTCAATAAATATGTTGAGTTGAATGTTTGGATATAATTACAAAAAAAAAAAAAAAATTGCAAAAGTTAAAAAAATTTAAATTTTTGCAAAATAAAAATCACTCTTCACAAATTTTAGAAAAAAAAATTTAGTCGCGTAATAAACTGCATACAAAAAAAAAAGGTAGAAACTGTTGTTAAATCGTATTTATCATACTTAGTTCCTGAAATCTAAATATTTGCATATTTATAAAAATTATATAGTTTTGAATAAATCTGTTTTGCAAACTCCTCACAATTTATTAGTGGTAACATAAAGTTCTTAACAAACTCTAACTTTAGTTTGTTAAATAATATATGAAGGGTGCAAGGTGAAAAAAAATAATGTCACATTTTATCAATTTTTATAGCTACTATCCAAACTATGTTGTAGGCAAGTTGTTGCGTTTTTACAAATTAACATTATAAAAAAAGTTAAAATTTCTATGTTCAAAAAAAGTGTAAAATCCTATGCAAAAAAAAAGAGATCACAAAGAAAAAAAATAGAGGCGTTCAAATTATTCATTTTTTCAAATCCTTAGCACTGTATAAAAGAACTGTTTATAATTACTAGGATATAGGTGAAAGTAACATGCTAAAAAGGAATGTTAAGTAAGACAAAAAAAAAAATGAAGTTAAAGGATTTAAAATTAAAAATTACGACTCTTACTTGGATATAATAGTAGGCACCCAAAAAAAACACAGCATTACGCACAAAAAAAAAAACACCTAAGTAAACATAAAAAAAAAAACACCACAGTAAGCACCCAAAAAAAAAACACAGCAGTAAGCACCAAAACAAAAACACCACAGTAAGCACCCAAAAAGAAACACCAAATTCGACATATAGAATAAAACAAAATTTGATTGGAAACAAGTAAATTTGTATTTTGATTTTTTTTTTATTCAAATTAAAGTTTTTAGTTTTTAAAATGTTTAATTTAAATTTTTTAAATCAAATAGTAATGATATTTATGTTGCAATTTTTTTTTAAATAAAAGACAAATTGCAATATGCTTATTAAATGTTGTGAGTTGTTTTAGCCTGCAAACAAGATTCAATACAAGCATGGAATAGAACAAACAAGAAATAATACAAGATTATAAACTTGCCTCCTCTTCCTTTATAATCAGGTTTTCTTCAACATCTTTAACTTTACATTTTAGTGAAACAATTTTTTCTTCTAATTCTGAAATAGTCAGGTTGTACTGTCTCTGTTGCTCAGCAGCTAGCTGCATTTCTTTTTTTAAATCAGCTGTGCAAATTGATAATCGGCATACCTTCAATAAATGTTTTTAAATATAACTTTATTTTTTCAATAACAAAATAATGCACACATCACACACACATATATGCACACGAACATACACTAATAGAGTGATAACCTTTTTTAAATCTTTACAAATATATATAACATAGGCCTGCCTCATAACTCTAAGCAATCTTGAAGAAAACTGGGCTCTTACATAATTCTGAACAGCTATGGATAGTTTAGTTGAAAACTTTTTTCAATATTGATTAGAAAGGCAAATACCCATCCATGTTTCTGTAATAAAATCAAATGTTTTAGTTCAATGCAGTAATGCCCAAGCTCCAACAAAATATTTTATTTTTTGTGTTGCTTTCTACTTAGGGCTTGCAGTTTGAACTTGTTCAAGTTCAACCATTCAAACTTTTGCCATTTTTTAAGAGGTTCAGGTTCAAACTTTTTTTTTCTAAAAGTTTGAACATGTGTATATATATATATATATATATATATATATATATATATATATATATATATATATATATATATATATATATATATATATATATATATATATATATATATATATATATATGAAAATTAAGTTCTTTATTATCATTTTAACAGTTAAACCAAAATCTATTTTAAACTGTGACTTTTTTAGTTTTCGTTGCTCATAACTTTTGTTGTGCAATATTTTTATTTAAAAATAACACTTTCAAAGTTTAAATCCCAAATGGAATATGTAAACAAATGATTAAGAACATTTTAAAATTAAAATAGTTATGTACATTATATATTTTTAATTGTTTATTATAATTGTAATACCATATTACAATTGGTATTACAATTACATATACCATGTTATATGTAATCCATATTGAAATAAATCATTAAAATTTCTAAATTAAAAAAAAAAGAGTTAATATAGCTTTGACGAGCTAATTACAGTTTTAGTTGTGCGAAATAAAAAGTATAGATACGTTTAATATGTAAGCACAACTAAAAGATCTGAGGTATGGGGCTATTTAGAATTTTCCGAAGAATTACAAAGTTCAAAGTGTAAAATCTGTAAAATTATTTTCAAAACAACTGGTTCAACAACAACAGCTATTACAAGGCATTTAAAAACGAAACATAAAATTTGAATTTTTAAATGCAACAACTCTGCGCTCAAGGCAGCAGCAAACATTCCTGCTGCCAAAATACCACAAACTAAATTTTCAAGGATGACCATAAAACTCTACCTGAAATTTTGAGTCAACTATCAGGTATTGATGGATATGTTCGCTTTCACACCATTGCTAAAAGTGAAAACAATCAGCATTTCGTGCACAGGGATACCAAATCCTTTGATGATGAACTGTGGCAAAAATAAGAAAATTGGTTCAAATATTTCGTAGATCACCAGTGATTAATGATGATTAACTTCAACCAAATGTAATTAAAAAATTAGGAAAAGAAAAAGCTTTGATTTGTGATTCAAGGACAAGATAGAGCAATACTCTAGGTGCAAACAGAAGTAAAAATAGCTCTGATTGGTATGAATATTGATTCCTCTAACTAAAAATGAGTTTGTTGTCATGAACTTTGTGTTGCTTTAAAACCATTAAAATTGGCCATTAATACTCTTTGAAAAGGAGATGTTGACCTTTTATATTCTAAAATTGTGATTGATTTTACAAGAAAAAAACTTCATGAAGCTAATACACCTATAAGTCAACTTGTTATAGAGATATTTGAATATAGAATTATTGAAAGAAGAAACATTCATTTAATTCATCTCATAAAGTAATTATCAAATCAGTATGTCTTAAATAAAAATGACCAATTTAGCAACAAGGTTAAAAAAAAGACAGCTACAGATCTTGCTGCTAATCCCACATTATATATGATTAGCAGCAAGATTAATAACCGTCACAGATCACCATCTGACAATAGCTCTGATAATGAAAAGGAAATAAATAATAATAGTACAATTAAAAACATAAAAAGTATCAAAAATGAATTGAATTTAGCTCAACAACTCTAACTTTTTATTGAACAACCAGACACTGAAATGAAACTTGACATCAGGAAATTGAAAGAAACCTTGTTCAAAAGGAAATGGCTGTTTTTGAAGCGAGCAAAGCTAGGCCCAAAATATTTACATTTACTTTTCAAAGCTCTTCAAACAATTCCTCCTATACCCGTAGATGAGAGAGCTTTTTCTAGTCTTGGACATTTTGCTACTAAAGTAAGAAGTTCTTTAAATGACAAAAGTTTAAATGCACTACCTTTTTTAAAACAAATTAAGAGCACTCATTGATATTATTTACTTTTGTCCTAATTAATGATGATAAAAATTTTTTCGCATACTTTGTACTATTTTTGTGTGTTTTAACATAACATTCAAAATAGTTCAAACATGTTCAGGTTCAAATTTTTAAAAAAATTTTTCAACTGGAAGCTCTATTTCTACTTGTAACTTTTTTCTGATCATCAATGCATAGTATTTTTCTTTCTCATTATTCATATAAGATACTTTGTTCAACACATTCATTCCCTTCTTATTAGATTTAATATTTTCACTAATAACTGAAGACAAAATTTTATTTTATTTTATTTTTTTTTTCAATTTTATACCTTTTTTTAGACTTGTAACTTATAGTTGACTTGTAAGTTATGAAAAAGATATTCAATTTGATGCAGATTGCAATCAATTCTTCAGCAAAAATTTTTACATCTAACATACACGCCTTTTCATTTTGGGCTAAGTATCTAAATCTTCCAAGAACAATAGTTACTTTTGGAATTCAAACCATTTCAACTAATGATTTGATTGTCTCAGGATAAAGACTGATTTGGTTTAATTTAGATTTTTTTAAAAAGAACTAAAATATTAGCCTAAAACTTTTTTTAGTAGAAATATATATAATTTAAAAAATAGTCTGCAACATAATTTTATTTCACTTAAACATAAAGTTTTACGATAAAGTGATCTCAATTATGTTTCAAAAATTTTTGTTTAAAGAAATTTTGTTGTTTACATGAAAATAAATCTTTTACATTTACATGGATATTGAACTATAAAATAAAAAAAGTCATTACCCTAATATATATATATATATATATATAATCTTCTTTACCTAAAATACCTCAGTACAATATTGTTTAGTTATATTGTAAATTTCTAATCAATATTGTAGCAAAAATGATATTTTAAAATATTTTACAATAAAATTAAATAAATGGAAAACCTCATTTTCAGATGCACTTAATTTATCCAGTGTTTTCTTTAAATAATTTTCTAGTTTTTTTCTTTTGTTTCCTTGCATTACAAGCTAATAAATTAAAAAAAAAAAACAACTAAAAAGTCTTAAAACACATGTTTCAAAAAAAGTATATAATATAATTTATATTAATAAAAATTGACAACTAGATTTTTAAATTTAACTTTAAATTTCAAAAAAAATTTTTGAAAAATTTTTTAATTCAAAATTTTTGTTCAAAATTCCTAGTGTCCACTAATAACAACAACAAAAAAAAAAACTACTAAGTGAGGTTCACTTGGTGGTTGATACCAATTTACTTGGTTTAATATTGATTTTACTCACAACTTTTGGTGACAAGAACAAAGAATTTGACTGATACTTAACTTTATTGTAACGGTTGATGATAATGACATCAATAGATGACCCCGTCCTCTAATGATGTCACAGTCATTTGAATAAATACAGTGTACAGTCATTTGAATAAAAATCATTATCAGTGAATTGCTTTATATGAAGTAGTTCTTGTCACCAACAAGAAACTTAGAATTTTCATTATAATGTAATATCCACCTACTGATATACAATTTTAAAAACATAAGTTTTTAAAATCATTTTTAGTTTATTAAAAACTTTGATCAAACAAAAATTCCTGATAAAAAATATAAACAAGTTACAAAGTGTCTAATAAAAAAACTTAAATTTTGCTAATAAAATAACTTTTCTAATAAAATAACTTTACTAATAAAATTTACACTTTGCAAATAAAGAAACTTGCATTTTGCTAATAAAATAACTTACACTTTGCAAATAAAAGAACTTACATTTTGCTAATAAAATAACTTTTCTAATAAAATAACTTTGCTAATAAAATTTACACTTTGCAAATAAAAGAACTTACACTTGCAAATAAAAGAACTTACACTTTGCAAATAAAAGAACTTACACTTGCAAATAAAAGAACTTACACTTTGCAAATAAAAGAACTTTTCTAATAAAATAACTTTTCTAATAAAATAACTTTGCTAATAAAATTTACACTTTGCAAATAAAAGAACTTACACTTGCAAATAAAAGAACTTACACTTTGCAAATAAAAGAACTTACATTTTGCTAATAAAATAACTTTTCTAATAAAATAACTTTGCTAATAAAATTTACACTTTGCAAATAAAAGAACTTACACTTGCAAATAAAAGAACTTACACTTTGCAAATAAAAGAACATACACTTGCAAATAAAAGAACTTACACTTGCAAATAAAAGAACTTACACTTTGCAAATAAAAGAACTTACACTTTGCAAATAAAAGAACTTACACTTTGCAAATAAAAGAACTTACACTTTGCAAATAAAAGAACTTACACTTTGCAAATAAAAGAACTTACACTTTGCAAATAAAAGAACTTACACTTTGCAAATAAAAGAACTTACACTTTGCAAATAAAAGAACTTACACTTTGCTGAACTTTAGAATAAGAGTTTAGTAGCTCTTGTTTCTCCTTCATTAGATTTTCCTCTAGATCTTTTGATAATTTTAACTAAATAAAAAACTAAACTTTGTTACATTACGATGCATTACGATGGAAAAAATGATCAGATGGAACATTAACATATGTAATCAATGTAGAAAAAATTATCAGATGGAACATTAGTATACTGTAGCGTGCAAAAGTTTAGAAACACCAACTTTTTTTCAGTTTTTAGTGCATAACTTTTCACAAACTTTCATAAATTAGCTGAAACTTTCACCAAAAGTGCTCTATTTATTTCAATTTAAATTACAAACACAAAAGTTGCAAAATGGAACGGTAATTAACATTTAATTGTTTTTTTGAAAAATCTTCCATGCAAAAGTTTAGAAAAAACTGAATTTGATTAATATTTATTTCAAAAAAGCTGAAACTTTTACTAAAATTCACAAAATAACAACTTATTAACAATAAAATAGTTCTAATAAAATAATTAGTATTTGGTGGGATATCCATTTGCCTTAAAAACAGCATCACAGCAACAAGGCATCGAATCTACTAATTTATTGAGAACATCCTGAGGAATATTATTCCAACATTCTTTAATCAAGGCATATAAATAATCTTTGTTGGTTGTTTTTCTACCAACTAATTGTACTCCCAAAGATGCTCAATAAGATTGAGATCTGGGCTCTGTGATCATTTAAGAACTTTGATTTTTTGTGATATAAAATATTCCTTAACAGATCTGGATTGTGATCATAATGATCATACTTTGTGTTATCTTGTTGTAAGATCCATTTGTAAGTCATTTTATTCTTTGCATGTGAATTCATAACATTCTTTATGACTTCTTAATAATCTCTCTGGTCCATCATACCTGCTATGGTCTGGTCCATCATACCTGCTATGGTCTGGTCCATCATACCTATTCTATGTGATGAATAGGACCCATATTGTCATGACTAAAACATCCCCAAACCATTTCCTCATCCATATTTAAGAGTGGGTAACTGATATTTTGGATTTAATCTGTCTCCTACTAGGCACCTAACATACCTTATTCCGTCACTACTAAATAACATAAACTTTGATTCATCAGAAAAATATACTTTTGACCAGTCATTAACAGACCAACCATTATGATCTTTTGCAATTTTTATTCTAGTTTTTAAATTTCTTGTAGATATTAGTGGTTTCTTAACTGGCCATACAGAATTTTTTTGTCCTAATCGATGTTTAGTTGTATCAATGCTACAGTTTATGCCATGAAACTGATGCATAAATGAACTAAGTTTGACAGTAGTCTTCCAAGAATTATTTTTGGAATACCTTATTGATAATCTATCAGACTTTTCAATTGTAACTTTAGGTCTTCCAGAGTGAGGTTTGCTTTCAATAGTTTTGCGCAAACAAAATCTTTTCATGTGACTTTTCACAATGTGATCTTTTCATAATGTGACCAAGTTTAGAAACATTGTAAAGTGCTGAAATCTGCCTGTAAGTCATTTTATTTATAACAGCTTTTATAATTAATTCCTTTATTAACTTTGAAACTTCCTTAGTTTTTCCAATGCTTTTAAAATATTGCTAAGTAATTGAACTATAAAATTTTACCAATATTTTGACAATTAGTTATACTTTACTGCCTTTGAAATATCTCAAAGTAATTAAATTATTAAATTTCATAAAAAATTTGTCCTTAAATTTTGCTTTTGTTTACAAAAAATATGATTTAATTGTGGGGTATGATACTGTTTCTAAACTTTTGCATGGAAGATTTTCAAAAAAAAATTAAAAATTGTCAAAACATTTAAAGTTTTCAAAAAAATAACTAAAAGTAAACAATTAACTGCTCAATTTTACAACTTTAATGGTTTGTATTTTAAATTGAAATAATAAAGAACACATTTGGTAAAAAAGATTAAAAAATAAAAAATTGAATACAAGATTTTAGTGTAATAAAAAATTATTCAAATGTATCTCTTGATATAGTTTAAAACATATATATATATATATATATATATATATATATATATATATATATATATATATATATATATATATATATATATATATATATATATATATATATATATATATATATATATATATATATATATATATATATATATATATATGTATATACATCAGAGGTTTCCAATCAGTGGTTCAAGAGAACTTTTTGACTAGACGACAAGGTAAAGATAAATTCTAAATATTTTTTCAGGTGTGAATTTAAATTTTAATGTTTTTTTGTTTGTTTTAAAAAACAAAATAATAAACCATAAATTAAAAATGTAACTTATGCTAAAAAATGATGTTACACAAAATTTATGTCAACAAATTTGACGTTAACTGTTAAAATAGAAAAAGACTTGACCACTATAAAGTAATTAATGCTATATATTATTCTTTCATCTTTAAATTTCTTTAATTTTAATGTTATATAAAACCATCTAATCTTATGGTAAAAATACTTTTTAACTGATTTGGTTGAAAGAAAGTAATTTGTGTTTTAATTTGGGTTTCTATGATATGTGAGAAAATATATCTCTTATTTCTGAATGAATACTATTTAACATCTAAAGTACTTCAAACAGCATCAGTAATGATGATACTTTAACAAGATCTATATTATGTTTCATAATATCTAAATGCAGTTAAAGAAGATAGGGAAAAATCAGAAACATCATCTCTTGAATTAGCTATAACACCTACCACTATTGCAGTGTGTTGCCTAACTGAGAATCCCTTGCCTATTTTTGTGTAAGCTGTTTTCTTTAAAAGTTTTTAGCTTACTTTTTTATTTAAATATATTTCTTTAAAAGTTTTGATTAATAAATCTGAGGAAAAACTTCTCTATGTTTCTCACAATATAAAAAATTGAAAAATTTACCTTTAGATGTCTAAAAGTAAAAAAGGTCATATTCAGATGAATATATGAGATATGCTTTTACCTACATGCTTAAAGAAACCATTAGATTTGTTATGAACAAAAAAAAAAAGAAGTTTTTTTTTGAATTTTAACAAAGTCACTTCTGCTCATCATCTACTAAACTAGTTTTAAAGACATAAAATCTTTTTATTTATAGTTTTTGTATATAGAGTAAAAAAACCTTAATAAATATATATACAATGCATATAAACTAACAACAATTGCTATTTTAAGTAATTAAAATTGTCCCAATCATTATCATGATTATGATTGATAATGATCCCTGATCATTAAAAAAAAGCTCAAGTTGTTTCTAAATTCAGCAACTTTGTCTAGTTTGTTTAAGATTGGTTGTAATAATATATTATTAAAAAACCCTATTCAACAGCAATGGCCTCAATGGTAGTGGGTTTGTAAATAAAAAAACAGTTAAAATAAGTAAGATAAATAATTACAAAATAAATAATACATAAAAAAAATAAAGTTACCTCATTTTCATATCGATGACACTTATTTTTTGTAGCTTGCCATTCTGTTTTTAAAACACGTAGTTCTGCATCTTTGGAAGCAACCTGATAACAACAGAAAAAAGTTATTTTCAATATAAAATTTTCTATATAAAAAATAACAATGGTTGACAAACCTCTTCTAACAATGCTTGATGTTGAATGAGAGAACTATTTAATTCTTCGTGGAGCTGATTGTTTGATGATTTTTCTTCTTTATACTAGATTGCATAAATACGCATAAACTTATACATTAGTATATATATATATATATATATATATATATATATATATATATATATATATATATATATATATATATATATATATATATATATATATATATATGTATATATATATATATATATATATATATATATATATATATATACATATATATAAATAAATATATATATAAATATATATATATATATATATATATATATATATATATATATATATATATATATATATATATATATATATATATATGCATACTTATGAAAAAAATTTCACAAGATCATGAAAAAAATGAATTTTCTCTTTAATTACAGATTTTTTGCACAAAAAAAAGTCTTAAACAACTTTTATATGAAAAGTGAAGAGTACATGATTCGACTGATAAATAGGTAGGACATACATGGATTAGTGCATAAAAAGATTGAGAATGTGGGTTACAATATGGTTATGGTTACATTTTTAATTAAATACTTAGATTTTTATAAATACTGGTTTTTGTAAATAAATAAATAAAAAATTGAAATATAATAATATATCATAGTTAAATAAAAATAACAAAATTAGATTTAAAATTTTTTGTAGCAAAACATTAAACTTTGTCTAAAAGATAAACATTTTGGTTTTAACAAAATCTTCGCATACTACTCATAAACTAGTTAATCATTTCTAATCGACGTTCATTCTATGATCAATTCAAAAAATTGATGATAATGAACTTTTTTTTAAAAAGCAATTTCAAAACTTAAAAAATTATCTTTTCATAAATTCGTTATATAAATTTTACAAAAAAATATAAAATAATTTTGGCTACAGGCTTGATTATTATTTATTTGGCAATGAATTTATAAACAGTTATAAGCATTAAGCACTTTTGTATATTAGCTCTTTTGCAACAGAATGAAAAAAATTTAGTGATTTGAAATTGTATATAAATAAACAAATTAGTTGAATGTAAAACAAACATAAAAAACTTAAGTTAAAATTGATAAAAAGAAATTTCTTTTCTTTAACATAGTTTGGAAATTACAGAGCATTTTAAATTTTTTTAAAAAGTTAAAATTTAAATTTAATAAAATATAAATTCATTAGTATTTAATAATAAATTTATTTTAAATATAATAAAGTAAATTTAAACCAAAAATTTTTTAAAAGCAGAAAAAAATTTATTTAACTTTCTATTTTTTATCAGCAAAAAAAACTTCACAATTGCAGTGAAAATTTATTTACAACAATTAATTACTGTGTAATATTTTTGGTATGAACTATTTCAAAAGTTTTAAATACTCCAATTAAAAAAAGTTTCGGCGTAACGTAAATGGCTTAATGTGTAGATAAAGTTGCCATTTCGTATGTAAAATGCAAACAGCGTAACGCTTTTTAACAAGACTTAAAATATCTTGCATATCATCATTCTTTGTGTAAAAATATATAAATTTGAATCTAAAAGATAGTTCATTGGTAAAATGCAAACTTAGTTTTTAACTTAGAAAAACTGAACTAATATTTTCCTCATCTCCAAAATAAAAAATTTTGCACAACAATCATGCAACTAAAATCGAACTTAATAATTATTTAAAAAATTAAACACAGAAACTTCAAAATACTGAGAAAAACTACTTTGTCAACACTAGTTATATTTACTAATTTTCTTTTTGTTTATGATTTCCTTAATAAAAATGTACCTTGCTAATAAAAATCATTTTTAAGGAATACTTGATATACACATTTCACTAGAAATATCAACAATGGAAAGCTAAAACCTTCCCATAGAACTTTAAGGTTAGCAACTTTAAGGAAAGCACTCTTATTAATAGAGTTAAATCATAATAACAACTACTTATACTTTCTGAAATGAATGCACTAGGCACTAGGTTGCCATAACTTAAGTTATTTTTTTAATCATTATTTCTAATACTGTAAACAGATTAAACTGTTTTGAAATAAAATTAACTTACTTTATCTATTAAATCTTTATGGAGGTCAGATAATTTACTTAATTCCAGTTCAGTTGAGCGCTGCTCGGAATTTGAAATCTAAAAAAAGTATACTATTCTGTGTTAAATTATTTAAAATAAATAAAAATGCAAAAATTGAATATAAAAAAAAAACACCTCTTTTTTACTGCACTCTGCTCGTTTTTGAAGTTTGACAATAGATTCTTGTGCAGCTAATATAAGACGACACTTTTGTTCCAATTGTATTGAGAGTTGAGCATTTTGATTTTGTGCATCATTTAATTGTCTTTCATACCTCATTAAGATATCTTGATAAGATTGGTTCTAATAAAAATTAAAACTATGAAAATACGTTGCATTATTTAAGTAACACTATTAAAGATATGCTAGTACCTCTTTTATCTCAATAATGGTAGTATCTCTTATATACATGTTAGTATCTCTTTACTCTCTATTATCTATATCTCAGTACCTCTTTAATTTCTATTATCTATTTAATAGTACCTATTTTACTTCTATTATTTATGTTAGTACCTCTGTATTATCTATATGTTAGTACCTCTTTTGCCTTTATTATTTATGTTAGTACCACTTTTATCTCTATTATATATATGTTAGTACTCATTAATCTCTATTATCTACATGTTAGTACCACTTTTATCTCTATTATCTATTTGTTAGTACTGCTTTTACTGCTATTATCTATATGTTAGTACCACTTTAATCTCTATTATCTATTTGTTAGTACTGCTTTTACTGCTATTATCTATATGTTAGTACCACTTTAATCTCTATTATCTATTTGTTAGTACTGCTTTTACTGCTATTATCTATATGTTAGTACCACTTTAATCTCTATTATCTATTTGTTAGTACTGCTTTTACTGCTATTATCTATATGTTAGTACCACTTTAATCTCTATTATTTATATGTTAGTACTGCTTTTACTGCTATTATCTATATGTTAGTACCACTTTAATCTCTATTATTTATATGTTAGTAACTCTTTTACATCTACTACCAATACGCTATCACACACCTGGGAATAGTAGCGCAAAAAATAAAAGTGAATATAAATAAAGATAAAGATAATTTTTTATAAATGTTAGTTTGCACATTTAAATTATGTTTTTTAATATCATTTGGACATTACATAAAACTTTAATTCTAAATAAAGAAAGAAAAGACAAACAGATAAAATAAATCTAACATCTAAACCTCATTAGATAGATCTTCAATTTTATTTTTGTACAATGTTGTTTCTTTATCTTTTTCTTTGATTTTCTCATGTAATTTCTCAAACTGTAAAAAAATTATATACAACAAATATATGAATACAGCATTATCAAACAAGTCATGTCACAAGAATAGGTCCCATAAAAAGAAAAGGTTACATTTTTTTTAAAAGAAAAGGTTACATTTTTTTTTAAAAGAATTCGTATTTTTTCAAAGAAAAGGTTACATCCTATTTAAAAAAGAATAGGTTAAATAAACTTGAAGAATTCATATAAAATGAAGACTACTTAAAATTAAAAATTATTTATACTTAACAAGCATAACAACATTCTTTTATACATAAAAAGTTAACAATATTGTATCAACCGGTTGTAATATGACAAGTTGCTATATTAGGCCTTACAATATTGTAACAGGTTGTAATATATAATAAAATGCAATATATAACCTGGATTTCTTTGTTTTTTTCTTCATCAAGAGAGTATCTTAAATCTAATTGCACATTCTTTAAAGCTTTCTCCATTGCAGAAACCTAAAAAAGACAGAAACAGAATAAAAAAACCCATTAAGAATGATCCTATATTGAAGTAACACTTTAGCCACAGTGAAGGCAACTTATCCAGGAGATGAAAAACTCTAATAATTTAAACTATAATGACATATTTCAGCAGCAAAAATTACAGAACCTTCCAAACCACAAAAGAAACATAAACATTAAACTTTTAAAATTTAATAAAAAAGAAACCTACGCTAACTAAATATTTTTATATTGATTTTTTTTTGTTATATTACCTAAATAATTATGGTTTTTTATTAAAGTAGACAGTACACAAAAATTGGACCTGGACACACACAAAAAATAATAAGATTAAAAATGCATACTATTATAATCCTACGCCCATGCTTACACCCATATTATTATAATCCTAAACCCATGCATACTACAACATAGTTGCTAAATAACAAGTGTATCTATAATTGTTAATGAATCAACAGATTGTAGATAATGTCATTAGATAAAAAAGAAAAATCATAAGAAAATGAGTAGTAAAAAAAATAAGTAGTAAGAATTTTGTGATGCAGAAGAACGAAGTATAGATGCTCAGGGGGCAAGGGAAGAAAAAACCATTGCTCTATTCACCCTGTGTTTAGATCATATGCAAAAAAGAACAAATAATTGATTTACTGATATTAGAGGCGTCTACATGACATCTACTGATATTAAAGACATCTACATGATGTCTACAGGCATGCTGGTGTAGTGCATCAGTATGTGTATTATGGTTTCATTATGTTTTCGTCCACTTTCTAATCAGGTAAATAGAAAGTCAAATGCACTCACTTCTTGTGCTTATGGGCAAGCATATCACAGCCAAACGTTTGACCTACAGAATGGATTTTAATTGATCGAATGCACACATTGTCAGCATAGGCCAAAAGCCATCGCTCTTAGCCAAAAGAGCTATGACCTCGTGCTGGTGTGGAATGATGTGTAATGTAGTGAGATTTTAGATCCAAGTACATAGTCAGCAAGCGCTGATCTAACATGTATTGTGGAGCTTCCTAATGTTTTTTTTTAAAAAACATTAGCTACTTTATTTAAAAGCGTTTTACTAATTAAAAAAAACATAAGTAAAGATAAACGTGTTGAAGTTATTTATTTTCAACATAATTAAAAACCAATTTTTCAGCGCATTTGTAAAAAAACCATGGTTAAATCATCAAAACAAAATACTATTTGCGTGGTCATATAAAGACTTGAAATCGCACACCTTTCTGGCCAGCCTACTACACCCATGCTTGCACTCATATTATTATAACCCTAGACTCATGCATACTACAACTTAAATAACAAGTTTATAATGAGACTTTGATAAAGGTAATTTAAAATCTCTAAAGTAGGTACCAAGATCCATAGTGTTAAGCATAAGATGAAAAATTATCATGTTCAGGTTACTACATTATATTGATCCTATACTGATACATATTGTTATTCATAATATAGGAATCATGAGGAAGAAACTTGAAAACAAAAAGACAAACCACTTTTTACAAACATGAAAAAAATAAAACAGAATTTTTTTTTTTTTGCTTGTATTTTATTTACTTTTTTTAACCATTAGTAGTCACAAAATTTAACATTAGTAATTTTAACCATTCCTAGCCTTCATGTAGTCTTTCATAAAACGATAAACAAAATAATGACAAATATAAAAAATAGAAATTTAAACAATGACAAACCTTTAATAACAATGCATTTTTTTCATCTAAAATAACATTGTACTTGTCCAAAATAGCATTGTATTTGTCGTCACTTTCTTTGAGAGCATGCTCTGATCTATAGAGCTATAGAGATTTTTTTTTTTTTTATTTAGAGATAAGTTAAAACTTTTTTTTTGTATTAAATTTGCTTAAGAAAATTTATTAAGGTAAACAGTTTTTTTGATAACAATCAAACAACTTAACTTTAGTTAACTCTATTTTTAAAATCTAGTTTTATTTTAAGTGTTTTTTATTTTTTATTTATTTTATGTCAAGAATTCAAAATAAACAACCTCCTCAAGTTTCAATGCCAACTCATTAATCTTTTGAGAAAGATGCATTTCTTTTACAGCTAAACTGTTGGAGTAATCCTTCACTTTTTCTGAAAGATTTTTATTCTAAATTTTAAATAAAAACAAACTCAAAATTAGTAATAAAAAAAAAAGTACATTTTGTGAACACTATCATGTAAACATGGCATCAATTCAACTATACATTAAAAATAGCACATGCATTATTCATTTTTTTTCTTCTGAAATAATTGAATAATTAAAATGAATTTAGAAATGATTGAAGAAAGCATTACATTTAATTATTAATATTTCTATTCAAGTTTTTATTTACCTCAGTCATATAATCCTGGAAAATGTTTTCTAAAAGTTCAAACTGATCAATGGTGTTTCTAATTTTTTTTTGAAGCAATGAATCTGAAGGAGAACTGGTGGGAGAGTTTAGCTTTAAAATAGATAAAAACTCACTATAACCAAACACTAAAATATTTTTATTTTATTTAACAAAAATGCAATGTTTAAAGTAAATATACATACATACATACATACATACATACATACATACATACATACATACATACATACATACATGAATGTATGTATGTATGTATGTATGTATGTCAAAAATTTTTAGTTTAAACAAACATTACATTTTTTTTTGAAAAGTAATTTAGCACAAGTGCTATTTTTGAAATTAATATTTAAACATTTTTTTATCTTTATACTTTTTAAAAATTTTTTTTTTAATTTTATAACTATTAATTTATTAAGAGTCTGCAATTCTTCACTATGTGAAAACTGATTAAAAAAATATTTTTATCAATAATGCTTTGTAAAACCATCTTTTAACTTGAATCATTCTCTTCTCTATTGTATAAATATGAACTAGATTTTAAAAAGTTTTGGTTATAACTTAATTTATAATTAATTTATTTAGGTATAAATTCAAATATTGTTAACATTTGCTTAAACTGCATTTCGAAATTTTAAAATATTTTTTGACAAAATAGTTTTATTGTAATCAAAATGATCTATTGTCTATGTAAAATTTCAATCTGAACATTTAATAACCTCTTAAACTTCATATAGCCCAATGCACAAGATTATTATATTATAAACACCATTATTTATACATGACATCACATTATAATAATACTAAAAAGATTTGTCATCATGATGTCATTATCAAAAATAAACTGGTATATTTAAGGGCTTTTTTATAAAAGATTTTAACAAATTTATCTTGATTTTTATTATGCTTTTAACAAAAAAATAAAACAAAAATAAAATATATAAGTATAAAATAAAACAAATTGAAAACAAGTAAAATAGAAACAATGATTTAAATAAAAGAGCCACTGAATATTCACATGTAATTGAATATTGAAGATAAATGATATTTTAACTTAGAAAAAAGTAGAAAACTTGCAAAGAGATGTTTAGCATGGCAATTAAGCATTTTCAAACATATAATTTATTAATCAGCATTAAACTAAGTGGATATCCTGAACAACTAAGTGGATATCATGAACAACCTTTTTTGATTGATATTTTAAAGATTAATTAAATATCCTCAAAAAAGCCCATTTAAAACTATAAAAGAAATTAAAAATGAAGTAATCATATGATTAATAATTTAAATTCATTAAGTAATCATATGATTAATAATTTAGAAAATTTTTTGAATACATATAGTAATAGCTGTCTCTTGTGTTTTTAATTTACTTAAACAAACAGAAACTAAAAATGTAAATATATATAAAGAAGTAAAATATTAAAAATTATCATTATTCTATTACTTACATTACTCGTATTGTTACTATCAATTATTACTTTAAAACTATTTTAAAAAAACTACAGATACAGAAAAACGTGAAGTAAAAGTAATATTGAAATACCTTTAAACTTTTTTTATTACATTGGCTAACTAAGTCATGAAAACAATTCTGTAAATGGACAACTTGCTCTGTTGCCTCGCTTGTTTCTGTCTTGAAAAAATCTATTTCCTCAAGTAACTCAGTGTTTTTTTTCTGCAAAAGACTGCATGCGTTTTGTGTTTTTTTTTGAAGTTCTTCTAACAACTTGTATTCAGAATGAAGTTTAGTATACAAAGTTTTATAATGATTACAACCATCTACATTTTGGTCTAATGAGTCTTTTATCTCTCGTAAAGTATCTTCAAGAAGATTATTTTGCATCTTAGTCTCACCTGCATCTTTTTTGAGATGAGCAAGTAAATTTTCAAGCGATATAAGATAATCAGACTGCTTTGCTAGCTATAAACAAAAATAACAAAATCTTTATGTAAGTATATGTATGTATGCATATATTTAAAAATATATATATGTATATGTATATATAAACACATATATATACATATATATATATACAAACACACACATATATATGTATATATGTATGTATATATATATATATGTATATATATATGTACATATATCTACATCTATATATATATATATATATATATATATATATATATATATATATATATATATATATATATATATATATATATATATATATAGATGTATATATATATATGTACATATATTTACATATATTTATATATATATATATATATGCATATATATATATATACATATATATATATATTATATATATATATATTATATATATATATATACACACATCTGACTCTTCGGTCTATTCCAAGAAAAATTACTTTTGTTATTAAAAGTCAAAATTAATCACAAAATTACCTTTTGATTTAAAGTTGAAATATCGTGAAAGGACTTTTCTAATTCAATTTTTAGCTTCTCCAATTGTTCGCTCTAAAAAACACAATAAAATATTTTACAAAAAGTCTCGAAACCTAATAGCAATGCATTATGCATCAAAGTTATTCATTAAACTGTGTTATAGAAGTTTTGATACTCATTTCAGTTTTGCTATTTTATTCCAGTAAATAGTTAACTTTTGATTATATTTAAGATTATGATTTACTCCATAAAATCTGATTTATCTCCATAGTGATATCTGATTTATCTCTTTTATACTAATTTTAAAAAACTACTTTAAAAACTCTTTGAAACTTTTTAAAAGTTCAAATAACATTTTTTCAGACTATATTTCTAGTTTATTATTATGTATGCATAAATTAACATAAATTATTATGTGTGCAAAAATAAGCTAAATTTAAACAATAGTAAAATTATAAGTTAAAAATAAATAAAACATGTAGAAAAAGCTCTGACATAATGACATACATATGACAAAACAAATTAAAAAGATATTAAAGTTATTAGTCCCCAGTTTGGAATAAGGTTGTGAGAACCACAAGTCAAATAAAGCTAAGTTTCTAATTCTTAATCCAATATTTCTGCTAAACAGGAAGTTGTACAATATAATCTAGCATTTCTAACTTTTATTTTAGTTTGGGTTATTATAGTTGATAGGTGAGTTAAGAGTTATATTTTTATTTTTGGTAAAACCAAAATATTTCATTTGGTAGAATGGAAATTCATAAAACAGTTTCATTTAGCAACACGACAGATGGTCTTAATTCAATAAGTGGCAGAGATTCCTTTGATTATGTTAGATGGAACAAACATAATTTTTAATTTGGAACAAACATAATTTAGCTAATTTTTAGATTTATAATACAACTTACACTATGGTTGTAAAAATTTGCTGATAAGATTTAATGTTAAAATGAAGTCATTTATAATTTTAATATTAAATTGGACTGCGATGAGCAATCCAATTTAATATCAAAATTATAAATGACCTAATTGTAACATTAAATTCTTACTACTATTGATCAAGATGCTTATTAATTTTTTTCAGTTAGGGTTCCTTTTATTTTTAAAAAATTGCTAGCCTTTCTGTAAAATTCTTCAAATTATAATCTTTATTCTAATGTTGAAAAAATTAAAATAACATAAAAATACTTTAAATAGCTTAAAAATTTCATCTTAAAAATTAAATAGCACCTCATCAAATGCTTTATTATTTTTAAAAATTAAAGATTTTTCTGCATGATGTACCTTATTTTATTTTAATTATCAATGAATGAATGAAAATTCACACTGTTTAGAGTATTTTTATAAAGAAATAGGTAAAAATCATTTCATCAAAACCTAAAAATGTTTATTGATAACATAATATTAACATATATATTACTTACAGAGTTCATGTTGTTTTCTTCCAACAGTTGAATTTTAGTTTGCAGTTTGTCAATAAACAATTCTTGTGTTACAACCTTTGAATTAAAAGATTTAGTTGAACAAACTGCATCAGTTTTAAAGAATAAATAATATTTTAAATAAAATAAACTTCACTGGTCAACAGTTAAAAAAAACATTTTTACAGTTTTTAATTTTTTTGCTTTTTTAAAAATATTCATTTCTGTGACTAAAGAAATATCTTTAAAGTTAGAAACTTAAAATGACAATACTTAAACAGAGTTTTACTATAAATGTTATAAAAACACTTCTAAGTGCATGTATATTAGTTTTTTGCTTTTTTGTTTGCCTGTCTCACCACAATCCAGCAGTAATTGGCTAACATTGCAATAATCCACTTTCCCTGATACCTATTTTCTGATGTCACTATATCCTGATGGAAAAATTTATTGTGTTCATCACTAACTGCATCCCAGTTATCAAGAAAGCAGTCAGGGAAGTTCCTTTTCTTTTTCTTGAAGTCTACTAGTTAAAGAGACACATTTTTTTCCAAGATCTAGAAACTTCCAGGAAGACCATACCTTTTTTTTATAGTGACTGTGCTCTACACCACATACAGAGAAAGTGATTTTAACTCTAGCATGATCTGATTCTTCATCTTCAGATTCCAGAGAACAGCCTGCTGGTGAATCTGCTGAATACTGATAAATAGGGAGTTTTTTTTCATGAGGTAGTAAGTAAACTGCAATTCTTTTTTTTGTGGATGTTTTGTGCTGTAGGGTAGATATGACACAAAAATAGCAGGCTTTAACAAATGACATTGATTTTTTTGATTGATCCAATTGAATTTTTTTGATTGATCCAATTCCAGAGGTTAGAAGCACAAGTAGTGCAATATAAATGTAGCTTTTATCTTGTTCCCCAATCTTGCACTCACTCTGGGTCACAATCTTGGTGTATAGCAGTAATAAACCTCGCTAATCACTAAAGTTAAAGAACATTTTTAAGTGGAAAATGTTGTTTGACCACACATATAACAAAATTTATCAGCACTATTTACATCTTTTCAAGGCATTTTGATATAATAACTGACATGGAAACTGATATAATAACTGACATGGAAAAACTCATATGTGCTATTTAAAAGTTTTTCTGTGTCTGAATCATAGTGCAAGAAAATATTCAGTAAATATTCAGCACAAAATAATTGTAAATGACAGGAAATTGTTGTAAATGCAATGAAGACTCAGAAAGAAGTTATACCCAATGTTTAATTAAAAAAACAACCATTTTTTAGTAAAATTTTATTTGTCATAAAAACTAAAGCTAAACATCATTTCTATTGTCATATTCTTTTTCAGCACAGCAAAATATGTTATAATTGGCTGATTTCATCACCAATACATTTCAGCTGTTGACCAGTGTTTTTAAGAAAAGTAAATAAAATAAATTTTTTTTAATAAATTTTTAAATAAAATAACTTTCAAATTAGGATAAACTTTTAAGCAAACAAATTTTTTAAATAAACTTAAAAGTAACTCAAAACTAAAGTTTTTTATAAATTAAAATTCTGTTAAAAAAACTTATTGTTTTATTCATAAAAAAATTCTCTACAACATAATCATAAAATATTTGTAAAAGGTTTATTTAATAATTAACTAACAACAAAAAGAATAAACATTGTTATAACTATTTTATTATATCCTCTATTTAAGGTTGTGAGAACCACAAGTCAAATAAAGCTAAGTTTCTAATTCTTAATCCAATATTTCTGCTAAACAGGAAGTTGTACAATATAATCTAGCATTTCTAACTTTTATTTTATTTTGGTTTATTATAGTTGATAGGTGAGTTAAGAGTTATATTTTTATTTTTGGTAAAACCAAAATATTTCATTTGGTAGAATGGAAATTCATAAAACAGTTTCATTTAGCAACACGACAGATGGTCTTAATTCAAGTGGCAGAGATTCCTTTGATTATGTTAGATGGAACAAACATAATTTGTTTTATTTATTATAACCTTTATTTTATTATAACCTTTATTTCATTTATAACCTCTATTTTATTATAACCTTTATTTCATTATATTCTTTAATTCTATTATTAATAATAGTTGTATATATATACTGATTTTTTATTATTGATTTGACAGAGTAAAAATGAGTGAAAAAGCAAACAAAGCCAATAGAGACTTGTTTTTATTTAATCTTTTACATTGTATTTATTATAAATTTTATATTATACTGTATTTGTATTTTTATGTTACATTTTTGTTTTTTTGTATATTTTTATGTTATGCATTTACAAATCTTAAAGTTTGTTTATTTAGTTGCTGAGAAGTTGTATGCCTTGTAGAAGCTGCCTTATGTTTGCTTGTTCATATAAATTTTAATGTAGTTAAAATTAAAATTCAATTTACTTCATTTTTTTTATATCTAATATTTTATTTAATTTAAATTTATCAAATATTCTTTATAAATATTAAAAGTGTTAAGTTTTATTATGTTACATAATATTTGTGTTTTTGATTTAATTTATAACTTGATTAAAACTTTGAGTTTAATTTGTAACTTGATTAAAACTTTGAGTTTAATGTTGAAGTTGATCAAGAGGTTTATAGATGGATCAATATCAAATAATATATTTATTATGTTTTTTTTTAAGAATATATTCAAGTTTTTATTATTTTAATTAAACTGTTTTTATCACTGTTCAAGAATTTGAATGGATAAATTTTTTTTTTATTAGATACTACAATTTGATCCATTGATGCTAAACAAGATAATTATACTAAATGTGTTATTTTTCCATCCACTAATGCAAAACCATGTTATTTTTACACCTACTTATGTGAAATCATGTCATTTTTTCACCCAGTAATGAGAATTCAATATCAATAAAGCACTTAAAGATTTATAAACAGAAAACTTAGTGAAATGAGCAACAATAATAAAAGAAATGTTTCTGTTGAAATTTTTCTTGTTGTTAACTTTTGAATTTATTCAGCTCCAAATCCTCCTGTCAATTATGCTCCTCCAAGTACTTTTTTTTTAAATTCAAAATATCATCAGTTACCAATTGGCTCAACGACAATCAATAAAAGTCTTGGTCAAATGTTTGATAGGCTTAGGGTATATTTAAAAAAATTGTGCTTTTTCTTATATATGAATATATAATGCATGTTCAAAAACATATGTTTTCAATACTTTGTTTTTTAAAGTAGCAAAACATGCTATATAAGACATTTTAAGTTATTATATTCAAATTATTACAACAAACTTTAATATGTTGTCAACTGTAAAAATAAACTACTTTAATATGTTGTCAACTGTAAGAATAAACTGCTTTAATATGTTGTCAACTGTTAGAATAAACTGCTTTAATGTGTTGTCAACTGTAAGAATAAACTGCTTTAATATGTTGTCAACTGTTAGAATAAACTGCTTTAATATGATGTCAACTGTAAGAATAAACTGCTTTAATATGTTAAGAGTTAAAGCAAGCCTTAGATTTAAATAAATTTATTTGGGAAAAGAACAAAATTAATTACACAAATCAATTTTGTTTGTGTGCCCATTTCAAACAAAATCCAGTTGCAAATTATAAAGCATTATAGATTATCACAAAGTTTTTAACACTTATCTCTTATTATCTCTTATCTTTAAAAAAAACTCTCAGAATATATCCTATTTAGTTGTTATTTTTTGTTTAAAACTAAATTCCAAACTTTTATGTGTAAGTATATAATATATATAATAATTTTGTTACTACATGCTACCTGTATATGATGGAGACAATAACTTTGCTAATACCTACTACCTATATACGATAGAGATAATAAATTTTGCAACTACCTGCTTTTCAAGATTATCTTTCTCAGCTTCTAGAGTTTGACAATTTTTCTGTAGATGGCCAATCACAATGGTTAGCCTTTCTATTTCTATAGTTTTGTTATCAATGTCATCAATCACATGCTCGAATTCTTGTTGGGTAACATCCAGTTCTGTTTGAAGATTTATGACAGAAGAATCCTTGACCACATTCTAGAATTAGAGAAACCTTTGAATTTATATAAAAATAAAATTATTATCATTATACGTACTATACATAAAATTTCAATAAATATGCCTATCAAAAGTTAACTACAAAAAGGCAATAAAAAGTCATCATATGGAATATGATCAGCTTCTCTAACATGAGAAATAAAACTTTACAGAATGAGCATAAGTTTTTCTTTTAATACCTTTATTCCACTATCACCATAGTTAACAAGGTAAATGATATTCTTGCACTATCTTGAATTGTTAGATAAGTAAAAGTACATGACATATAAGAATAGAGACGGAATATATTCCTATGCCAAGTCATAAATTTAAGTGCAATGATATAAAATGAAAGGCTAAAATTTGTTTCATAGTTGATATTTTTTCAATAACTTCCAATAACTATTAATACTATTTTGTTTCAAGTCGCAAATCACTTTATTTAACTATCAATAAGCAGTGTCTAGAGATTTTGGAGTTATAAGATTAAAGGTTAGAAAAAAAGAATTGTGCCCTCAACTGTAAATATTCCCCTTATCCATGGGGGAAGTGAATGCATAAAAATTAAAAAAATATATTTAAATACATATTTCCTAAGTTAAAACACATTTGATAAAAAAATCCTTTGAAAATTAAAAATATTAGATACTTCAAAGCTCTTTCAATATCATCTTTCAATATAAAACAAAATATTAGATACTTCAAAGCTACATCTTTCAATATAAAACAAAATATTAGATACTTCAAAGCTACCTCTTTCAATAAAGCTTCATGTTTCTCTGTAATTAAAGTTAAACCCATTTCAAGTTGATGGATATCTTCTTGGGCTACCTCTAACTAAAATAAATGTGACAAACTAAAAGTATAAATCCTTCAGCTAAAAAAAAAAATAGGGCAAAAAAATAAGCAGAGATTAAAAGGAAAAAGTTAAAAAAAGTATATAATTTAAATTACAAACAAATTCTTCCAAAAAAATGTTTAAAAAATGATTTAATAAATAAAAAATATTTACTTGAGTTTTCATTAAATTTAAGTCATCTGAAAAATCCACTGATTTGGATTTGTTTTCAAGTTCTGTCTCGAGACTGGTTAACTAAAAATGCAAAATTTATTTAAAAAAAAAAAAGAATATTTATCGTTTTAAAAACCTGATAATTATGAATTTTTATGAATTTCAAATAAAATAATATAAAAGAGAAAGTATACTCCTCTCTTTATAAAAGAGCTTGCGTTAGTTCTTAATGAAGGACCTAACATTAGCTCTGTATATAAAATCTCTCACAAACTCTCTGCGTAAAAGCTCACAGCCCTCTATGAAGTTCATATCAACTCTCTATAAGAACCTCATGTTAGTTCTTTTCGAAAGAGTTTATATCTACAATGAAAATGTGGTGAAGTTAAATTACATTAGACAAGGTTATATTATATTTCTATGAAGGAGTTGATGATGATGATGATGATGATGATGATTTTATCTTTTTTGTCAATTTTAGAAATGAAATTTTAAAAAAGAAATTTTAGAAATAAAACTTAAAGAATTTTAAAAATACATAAAACTCTTCGACATCATTTGCACCAGTACAAATACAAAACTAGTTTTCTAACTTTACATGGTTTACTTTACAACCCACACTGGATGTCTTACAAAAATTCTCACAAAACTTCAAACCATTTAAACAGTCTCTAACACTCTGTTATAAAATCAACAATTAAACAAAGGTGAGAACTCAATGAACCACTTGAGAACTCAAAAAACCTTAATGAAAAAGCTTATATTAGTTTAAGACTAATACGAGCTTTATTTTATTTAACTTATCTATTTTGTAAACAAATTAGAAAGATAAATCTTTGAACTTGAGGAACAATACAATCCTATTAGATAACTGGCTAGACAAATTTATGAGCTTAGGGTTTCAGAAATTTCTTTGCTAATCTGGGTTACCAAAAAAACATTAAAACACATCCATTTAGTGTACTCACACATCCATCTAGTGTACTCACTCATTCATTTAGTGTACTCACACATCCATCTAGTGTACTCACAGATCCATTTAGTATACTCATACATCCATCTAGTATAATCATACATCCATATAGTTTACTCACTAAATTTGTCTCCCAGTAAATTTTATTTCTAAATCAAAAGATTTTGTTTGCTAGAAAGTGTTTCACAATTAATGAAAAAGCAAGTTTACATTATAATAGACATTCTCCATAATAGAGATTCTCCATAATAGACATTCTCCATTGAAACCAGATTACTTTCATATGAATGAAATAGAATTATTGGAATTTTTCCAATAGTTCTATATTTTATAACATAAAAAATTAGGAATTTTCATGTTATAAAATAAAATATAGTTGCAACACTCTCTCCATTTAGCACTTATTCAATGAAATTTTTATAAAGGTATCTCTCATTTCTAACTTCAAAAAACTTCTTATAAAACTAATAGCAACTTTTTTCAACATAAATATTTTTGTTTTTTACTAATATTCAACAATGCATCAGAATTATTTATTACCTCTTGTCTATATATGCACCAGAATTATCTGTTATCTTTTGTCAATCATTTCAAATATATGACAGTTAAAAAATAAAATGATAAAAAACTGATAAAATAATGATAAAATGCTGATAAAATAATGATAGAATATTGATAAAATAATGATAAAATAATGATAAAATACTGATAAAATAATGATAAAATAATGTTAAAATAATGATAAAATAATGATAAAATACTGATAAAATACTGATAAAATAATGATAAAATACTGATAAAAAAATGATAAAATAATGGTAAAATAGATGGATTCTATTCAAAAGAAGTATTAAAAAAAAAATTAATTAAATAAAAGATTTTTAATAAAATATACTGTAATATTACCATAGTTTGATTACATTTTACTTACTATCTTTAATACATATAAAAATATTTAATATAATTCAAGCATTATTTTAAATGCTATAAATTAGTATTAATTTTACCTCTTCACTGATATTAGAATACCGTAAGTTGGCCATTTCTAATTCTTCTGTCAAACATAAAATTTTTTGTTCTTTGAATAAAATCTATTTAAAAAATCTTCTTTAAATAAAAAATATAAATATAAACAAACATAAAACAAATAACATAACAAAAACTTTTACTATTTACATAAGTTTTATGGGGAGATTTTGAGGAAAAACAAAAAGGTTTGATAAAAATAATAAATTATAACCTACCTCATCGCATGCATTTGTTCTTAATTCTAATAACTCATTGCTAATTTTTTCATAATTCACTTCTAACTGTTTGATTACCACTAATTGATTTTGTAACTATAAAAAAAGAAGTTAAACATATATATATATATATATATATATATATATATATATATATATATATATATATATATATATATATATATATATATATATTTGCAAAATATATAGATGCAAAAGCTCATTTATATTGATTAAATTTGATATAACAATGTGCATCACTAAGTGGAAATAGGATTTTAGTTACATAAAATAAATAATCAAATTCCAAGAAAAGGTTTGAAAATAATTGTTTACTAAACAATATATAATAAGAGCAATGCTAAAAGTTAAAATCAATCAGGTTAATCTTAGCATTGCATAGTAATATATAAAAAATATATTTGCATATTTTGGTCAGGTCAGGTTTATCCTGCTACTGGTAACATGTAACCCAGTACAATCTGCTTCATGTCCTGCTGCCTTGTAGGATACACCTTTTTAGGCAAAGGCTAGTAGATGCAAACTCTGACATAAAACACCCCCTGCCTTGGGGCTCTTGGTTGAGTAAAGGCTAGAGATGGTGTCTGGATAAAAATACTCATCTTGGGCAGATGTTACATGCATCCGGCTGCTGTCTTGTAGAAGACCTCCTAGGCAAAGACTTAAGGGGTAAACAGATTCTATCTGTTGACCAGCCTCGCCCCCCTTCTTCATCTATTAGGCTGGCGCAGATGTATTTTTAATACATAGTTTCCAGTTTAGGATGTTGAACGCTTGATCTTCTTGACTCGATGCATGGGTTTTGCCTGTGTCTCTGTTTTTATAATTAGGCAACTCATTCTATTATCTCCAAATGAGGGTACAGCTCTAAAACTCAGTTTTATGGTTCTGAGGTCGGCTGGTAGTCAGGTTTCCCAAACTCTGTAATAGCTCTCAGAGAGGCTGATTCCATCAACAGCTGAAAAATATCAAAGTACTAACAGTGCCATGTTGCGCATGGATGGTGTCCCTGTTTGTACTTTTGGTGTGCATTGCCAAGGCCACATTGGAGCCCTTTGTTATGGCTTAGGGTTTATTAATAGAAATGAGGCAATTGCTTGGGCTATAAAACAGTGTACTGAGTACCATCTATGTTTCGAGTCAAGTTCTTTAACAAATTTAAAAATGAATAAAGTAACAATAACTATAAAACACAAAAAACCACAGTCATTACCAATATCATCTTTCAATTCGCTAAACCTATCAATCACTAACACTCGTGGTCTTCGAAGTAACTTTTCTTCTGTTGAGTCTAATCTCTTGCAAAGTTCACCAGACCTACTTGCTCTTTGTGAGACTAATTTGAGTTCAGCTGTCTCATCTTGTGATCTTAGTGTTAATGGTTATCTTCCTTTAATTCGTAAAAACTCCAATAGTCACATGCTTGGCCTGGGCATCTACATTCGTAAGAATTCACCCATTTGTTGGGAAACTAGGTTTAAATCCACAGACTACTCTTTTACGTGCTTTCGTTTAGCACCACTTCACTCTATCACCTTTCTCTTCGTTCTATATCGCTCTCCCTCATCTCAAGACTGCACTCTTGATGTTATTTCTGATCATATTGACTAAGCCCTCATTCTTTATCCATCAGCCAATATTGTTGTTGTCGGTGATTTCAATGTTCATCACACTAAATGGCTAGGCTCTAGTGTCAGTGACTCTGAAGGCATTAAGGCCCACAACTTTTGCCTTTCTCAATCCCTAACTCAAATAGTCAACTTTCCAACTCGCTTTCCAGATAACCCGAATCATTTACCTTCTCTACTCAACTTATGTCTTGTTTCTGATCCTAGTCAGTGCTCAGTTTCTCCACACTCACCCTTAGGTGCCTCCGATCATGGTTTAATCTCTCTAAAACTATTATCTCATTCTTCTTTATCATCAGAATCCCCCTATCATCGTACATCTTACAACTACCTTAAAGCTGACTGGGACTCTTTCCGTGATTTTCTTCGTGATGGCCCCTGGGTAGAAATCTTTCGTCTTCCTATTGACAAATGTGCTTCTTACATAACTTCATGGATTCAGGCTGGCATAGAATCTTTTATTCCCTTTCAACGATTCCAGGTCAAGCCTCACTCTTCTCCATGGTTTTCCTCGCATTGTGCTGCTGCAATTGCCAATCGAAACCATTATTTCCATATCTATCAGCAAAAAAATTCTCCAGAAAACAGGCGTCTGTTTATTACTGCTAGGAATCATTGTAAAAAGGTTTTGTCTAACGCCAAAGCCCGCCGCTATTCTTAGATCATGAAATCTAGTATTTCATCACAAAAGTTAGGCTCTCGTGACTTCTGGAGAATCTTTAATAGTATCAATAATAAAGGCAAGTCTGTAATTCCACCTCTTTTGTATGGTTCAGACTTTGTCACCTCACCTAAAGACAAAGCTGAACTTATTTGTAAAAACTTTTCATCAATATCAAAAAAACTAACTTAATAGAAAAATATTTTACCGAAAAGTGATTTATTAAAAATGGTAGCATCTAGTTAAGTTAAGGAACCTATTAAAGAGATATAAGTAAAAAAACAACTAATCTTGTTAAGTTCTTTCTTGACTCCATTAGTTGCGTTCTACCTGATATAGCCGTCAAACAGATTGATCAATTGCTTGACATCCATATCACTCCAGCTTCTGTATTTAAAGTGATTTCCTGCTTAGACTCTTCTACAGCTTGCAGCCCGGACAACATACCTGTTATAGTCTTGCAGAAGTGTTCTCCAGAGCTGTCGTCTATCCTTTCAAAACTATTTAACAAGTGCTTATCAGAGTCTTGTTTTCCAGCCTGCTGGAAAGCAACATCTGTTATCCCTATTTTTAAAAATTCTGGAGAGTGATCCAATTTATCTAACTACCGTCCCATTTGCTTTCTTCCTATTATAAGCAAGGTTTTTGAATCTTTAATTAACAAACACTTAATCTCTCATCTTGAATCTCATAAACTACTTTCTGATCATCAATATGGATTTCGATCTTCTCGTTTTACGGCTGACTTGCTAACAGTAATAACCGATAGGTTTTATCATGCATTAAATAAAGGTGGAGTGGTTAAGGCCATTGCTCTTGACATTTTTAAAGCGTTTGATAAAGTTTGGCATGCTGCTCTTCTTCATAAGCTTTCTTCTTATGGTGTATCTGGAAACATCTTTAAGATTATTGAATCCTTTCTTTCCTATCGTAGTATAAAAGTTGTCCTTGATGGACAGTACTCTTTTTTTTATTCTGTAACCTCAGGGGTTCCTCAAGGTTCAATCTTCGGCCCTATGCTTTTTTTAATTTACATTAATGATCTTCCAGATATTCTCACATCTAAGGTGGCATTGTTCGCTGATGATACTACCATTTATTCTTGTCACGATAAGAAGCCAACTCCCTCTAATTGCTTGCAGGGGGCATTTGAGCTTGAAAAGGATCTCACTTCTGCTACAGCATGGGGCTCACAGTGGCTGGTGAACTTTAATTCAGATAAAACTTTTTATGAACGGTAATGTACTAGATGAGTCATCTACCCTTCATCTTCTAGAATTAACTCTCACTTCTGATCTTTCTTGGAAACCTTATATCAAATCCGTTGCAAAATTAGCATCTTCTAAAGTTGCATCTCTTTATCAAGCTTGACATATTCTTACTCTGGATTCTATTCTCTATCTCTATAAATCTCAAATGCGACCTTGTATGGAATACTGTTGCCATATCTGGGGCAGATCTTCTAATGATGCTCTTTCTCTGTCACATCGTCATAATATTGCTTCTCTATCTCTTTTCTACAAATACTATAATGGGCACTGCTCTAAAGAGTCTCTTGTGCCATCTACTAAAATTCATTTTCGTATCACTGATCATTCAATTAAGTCTCATCCTTTTTCTGTTACTGTTCCTAAGTGCTCCAAAAACTCTTATTCGTCTAGTTTTTTTCCTCGAACATCAGTTCTTTGGAATTCACTTTTCTTGCTTTCCTGATTCATATAATTTGCAATCTTTTAAGTCGTCTGTCAATCCTTATCTTGCTCTACAATCTTCATCTTTTCTCTTCAAGTAACTTCCAACACTAAATAGTGGTTGCTTACAGCCTTGTTGGAAGATGTTAAAAAAAAAAAATTAAAAAAATATAGACTAGCTTATTTTAAGCGTACATGCTTTTAATAAATGTCTATCAAGTAATAAAATCTGTCAAGTGATAAGATTAATCAGTATATAGAAACTAAACAACTAAACTTTTGGAAGTCAAGTTAGTTAACATAAAGTTTTTTAAAGTAATGTTTTATTGTTTGTTGTTGCTGTATTTCCAATACCTGAAGAAATGTAACTTATAAAATTAACATTGTTAAATATTTGCATGCTTGGTAGATTATTTTGCTAAGATTAATTTTAATTTTTTATTTTTATTAAAATTTCTTTTATTTATGTCATATTAAAATAATAGACAAGTTTTTCTTCTGTAGCTGAATACTTTGAATATTTGATAAAAAATAATTTTATTTCTAATAATTAAAACCTTTTTTATATATATATATATATATATATATATATATATATATATATATATATATATATATATATATATATATATATATAAATTTGTTATATTTGTAAATATTGAGCTTATGTATTTTTATTTATTTGAGCTTATTAATTTAAGTATTTGCAATATAAACATTAATCTCAACAGTGTGCGGTTTCTGAAAAATTAATTATTTCATTAAAATACTGTTAAAATAAATGTTAAATATTTCATTAAAATACTGCTCAAAAAAATCTATAGAGTTATTTAAATAAATTTAAACTAAATAGTTTTAGCATAACGTAAAAAGCATAGTGTAATGTAAAATGCCCTTCACTCAATGCTTTATCACAAACTCTAATAAATATATAGAGAGAGAGTTAGGAATTAAAGTTGTCACTTAAAGAATTTTTTAACTATCCATAATTAAGCAAGCTCATACCTCTACATCTTTTTCTGCATATTTCTGTTTGTAGGTAAGTCCCTCTGTTGTTGCTTGATCAATAAGAATATTTTTCGCCTTTACCTCCGCATTTATATATTCCAAGTCTCTTCGCAACTGAGTAGTTTCATCATAAAGACAAACCATCTTTTCTTCATTTAAAGAATTCTAAAAAATGTAGATTATGAAAACATAATTGTAACTTATACATAGTTTTAGCAAAAGCAAAACCTTAAAACTTCTCTATCTTACAAATATCTTTACATTTGTTTGTAAATATACATGTACATATACATATACATACATTCATATATATATATATATATATATATATATATATATATATATATATATATATATATATATATATATATATATATATATATATATATATATATATATATATATATATATATATATATATGTTTTTTAAATGTATATATTTTTTAATAATATTTGATAAAATTGTATAAATAGATGATTAAAGTAGTTGTCCAAATAATTCAAACACAAAAAATATTTTACTTTATGAATTTCTTGTTCTCTTAACTTTTCACTAGAATCTAACTTTTCATTCATTTCTTGAAGATATACTTTATATTCTTCTATCTATAAAAAAATATTGAAGATATACTTTATATTCTTCTATCTATAAAAAAATATATACTTAACATCAAATAGATTGAAAAACCAATATAGTTTACAAACTTAATGTTTTACAATGTCATAAAAAGATATTTGTATATACATGAATATATATTCATGCATATATACAATAATATGCCAATAAAAACAATGAAATACTAATTTTTTGATAACCTTTACTTCTACCCCATAATTGTGTTCTATATAATAAAATGACATTAGATATCAAAACTTAGGTTATAAAAATTGAACTTTGAG